GGTGTCTCCAACTTCGCTGTTGTTTCGAATTTGCATCGTGTAGTTAATAGCGTCTTGTATCCGTTTGATAGCTGTCTCGTTTTCTTCTTCGAGTTTCCTAGCTTCTTCTTCTAAGAGACTTTCCGGGGTATTTACTTCATTCGTCTGTCGATAGTTGGCGAGGCGTAGGATGTCCTATAAGAGTCCCGGTTGGTATATAATGCTACCATCTTGGAAGGCGTTGTTAAGTTCCGCAGCCTTCTTCGCTTGTTCCCAGTCGTCGAGTGGCTCTTGTCGCTGCTTAGTATAATCCGGTCTACCGGTGTATCGGTCTATCATAGCAATAGCCTTGGGTATGTTAGTAGTATCGTATCCCGATCGTCCTGCTAGGTTTTGAAGGTACCATCCACTATTCTCTTTTGCATGCCTGTGCGTAGTGCAATCATTGTCATAGCAGGCTGTCTATCCCTTTTCTTCGTGGCTAGGGATTTTGGTTGCAGCGTTGGCTTGCTTAGGGGTTGCCGTAAGTTTCTTAGGCTGTGTGCAGTGTCTAGCTATGTATCCTGGCTTGTCGCAGTTGTAGCATTTGAATTCTCTGCGTCTGGGTTTGTCTTTTTGCGCGACGCTCAGGTCTATAGGTCCGCTGTGTTGTCTATATGCGGTGCTTTGCTGATTGTTGTTCCTATTGTTCTGGTTTTTATTAAACTTGTGTTGGGGTTGCTATTAGTATTTCTTTCCTAAGTTGGCTGTTTGACGTTTTTCTCCTTTTTCCTTGCGTCGTTCAAACAGTCGGTTGTCAATCTTAATAGCGTATTCGACATAATCAAGGAAGCTAGGTGGCGTATCCACTTTGGCCATTTCGTCCTTAACGTCGTCCTTGAGACCCTAGTAGAAAGCAAAGACTTTGCTTTCGTCGGTCATATCGAGTCTAGCTGCAAGTCGTCGAAATTCTACGGCGTACATTATAGCTGATTTGTTTTGTCGTAGGCTTGCTAGTTCTCTTTCTGCTTGTCTTTTCTCATCGGGGTCTAAGAAGAGAGATTGAAGGGCTTTAACATATCCACTAAAGCTGAAAAAGATGTCCTTCACTTCTTGACTGTATCTCTCGATAGGGGTGTCCAGCCATTCTTGTTAGAAGGGTTCGAACTAAGCGAGGGCCTTCCCTCTCAAGAAGGTAGCGGCGTAGACGACACGTTCGGTATCGTTCTAGAACGTATTGATATGGAAGGCTTGGTAGGTCCGTATCTATACCAAGTATCCTTTGAGCTGTCTAGGGGTTCCGTCGAAGGTAGTAGGGGTATTAAGCTTAAGGCGTTCTCTTCCTTCGACAGGAGCTGATATAACGTTCGCAGCAGCTCGAAGGGTTATAACTTCCTTCTCTAGTTCTTTGGTGCGGCAGGCTTGTTCCTGTAGCTCCTTGAGGGCTTTGACGTTCTAGTTGAACAGGTTTTTCATTTCCCTGAGCTCGTTGTTGTTCCGCTCAAGTTGCCGCTTAAGTTCTTCATTATCGTCATCGCTATCGGATTCCTCCTTCATTTCCTGGTCTTGAATCTCTTGGGCCAGATTCTGGGGAATACGTCTCTCGGACGTAGACGAGGTTCCAGGAGTAGGGTTTTCGGTAGTTCCGTGCGAAGACATCTTGTCTTATACTGTTCGTTAGTCTCAAAGGGCAACTTACTAAACAGGAGCAATCAAAGTATTACGGCCAGCTATCTGACAGTAGGGTTCTGCTAACAGAAGGTATAGTAAGAGACTAATACTAGTTCGTAGAGGTCGTTCTAGTAGATCGTAGGGTTAGGGTAAGGTGATCAGTCTTACACTATGGTAACGAGGTTCTTAGTATTCACAATACTGAGAGGTAAGCTGAAAGTCATTCGAGGATGAATCATAAGTTGATTGCTAAAGAACTATCTAGAGGGCTTGAGCAGGTACTCAAGTCCTGGTCTATATAGGAGTCTATCTACACGTATTGTCTGTAGTCGTTAGAGATCATATTGATCGAACATGATCCGTTGGCCCCTAACTCTTCTTAGATCATTCTGACCTAGAATGATTTATTACGTGACTTGTTCCGTTCTATAGTTCTTCCGTTCCGAGAGGTTACCTTTTGTTCCCGTAGCCTTGCATATAAAGTCCTGTCATAACCGCCCAACCGAGTGGGTCCTGTTAAGTGCATCTGACGGGTCGTAACATTAATAGAGGGATAGTCGCGCTATCAACTAATAATTCGATTAATTTAAAGCAAAAGGGATAAGCTAAGAAGTTACGATATATTAAGACTACTAAACCTAACCTAAAATAGTAATATATCGAACAACGCGCTAGAAGGGCGTATATTGCGTTAATTTGCTAACCCGAGGCCTGTTTCGATTTATCTACTACTACCTAATACTAAGACCCTTTGCTAGAAGCGATAAAAGCACTAAATTAACGGATTCGATAGCAAATAGAATCGCCTAACCGAGGAATAACGTTTATCTTACTCGACCTTATAATAGCTAAGCTATTCGTTTTCGTTAACAGGTCGTTTGCTAATAACTACGACCTTTCCTCCTAATTAGGGTTTCTAATCATCCTAGCTAACGATACTTCCTCTAATAGTAATAACGGAGAATTTACGATTTATAATAACCTTATTTATTATAGCTTTACGAAAAGTAAATAAGTTACCTATAGCGTATTAGCGTTAGAGATCTACGGGATAGTCGCTAGCGTCGATATAGCCTACGCCCTTCGCTATAACCCTAGCGATAATTACTAACTACCTTAACCTACTAACGATTTAGATAGTTATCTATACCGATTCTTATTCGCTATATAAGTATCTCGTAAAGCTAGGCATTACTAAAGAAAAGCGACTTATAATCAATATCATAGCGTTAAGATAATTATACGAAAGACGAAAACTATAAGAAATTCGTTAGATTAACAGCGAAGACAACCCTGCTAATACCCTTACGAAGAGCAAACCAAATCAAGCCTTCGAGAGATTCGTTAATAGCAACACGATAACGATACGTATAGAGGGATAGGTAACAAGACCGTAACTACGGGAGAAAGTAGGGATAGGAGGCTGAATTAACGAGGAGACGGAACTATATAAGGATAACGTATTCTAACCGCTTTAATACTATAAAAAGAGAGTTTCCAGTATTGCGATAGTTGGAATACGGAGTCGTGTAGCACTTCCAGCCACACGCCCGCCAGGCTGAGAGGCCCAAGCCTCCCAGACCCACGTGACAGGCCAAGGGGGAATATCCCCACCTTCTAGTCAACAACACCACTTTCAACTATCATGAACCATCGATTAGAACCAATTTACTGTTATTTGTTATTGACGAACGGAATTCCGTTTCACCCCCTGTGAAACCTACACTAGCCTAAAACCTTCGCAGTTCACATGCTGGCTCCTACGCCATTTCCAACGGTTACCCCACGCTCAGTGTCCGTGCGTAATGATAACCCAGACCATCTAGATGCAGAGTGAAGTGTCCTCGACTGCATCCACTGAATCTTATTATTCCATTCGGCATGGCCAGGTAACTAGGCTTAGATCTAGATTGTCAAATGACAAGTCATCCTGCATCGATCTGATAGCCAAACAAAAGAAGCCAATCTAGGTACGGATGAGTCAGCCCCCACACATTCGGGTATCTGAGTTGTAGCCCATTCATAATGCCCTTCGCAATGAAGTCTTTTGGTCCTCAGTACTAGCACAGAAGAAATTTCTAACCAGACGATTAGCCATTCTAGTGTCAGACTCCTCATGTTGTGCTTCGGACCTCTCTCGATGGACATTAAAGGTTTGCCAAGTCGGGATCACGGCCTTCGCTTTTGATAATGTAATATAAGTCTTGTTTATACTATTACATTACCCTCTAATATTATAAATATGCATCTAGATCAAGGCTTAATTTACACGGTATGTCCTTCCTAGAATAGATAGTATACGAATTATGCATTAGTAGCTTTATCTCTCTACGTTTACTAGCCTTCGAGCGTAAAAATCACTACAGTAGCAGGAGTTTTAAGTAGTTAGTTCAATATATATCTTTAAGGGCAGCTAGAGTTGTCTACTACCGCAGGCTTTACGCAAGTCCCAACCCTATAGTTAGCGTTATACATTGGGATTGATCTTCTATTTAAGCCTCTCTCTATTAGTTTTGCTTCTATTCATGCCACCCTCATAGCCTCCTTATACGATTGCGATCCGCGTTTGAATGCGTCAAGAGTATCCCAGCTGCTTCACTATCTTTAGGTAGAGGTCTGACTTAATCGCCTTAACCAAAAGAAGAGAATACATAGCGCTATTACTTACTAAGAATACCAAGTCGCAGATATATTAGTACGCCTAGAGGTAGTACTGTATACCTTAATCTCGCCTCATTATTGTTACCTAGCTGTCTATTTACTAGTACGTAATATGTATCTGAATAAAGGTATTTAAAACGACTTAGCCTTGGTTGAGTATCCCAGAGCCTCCAATCAGGATCCTTATCATAGTGATTCATCTTGGTGATTCTAGGAATGCTAGGATCACCCTATCCTACCCCTAGCCTCACCCTGGTGATACCTAGCTTTCCCTAGATGGTGAGCTTAAAGCAGCAAAAATCACCCAACTCACCCTATTGGTCAAAGGGTGATGACCCGAGGAACTTCCGAATGTAGATTCCGTCTGTTAGCAAGAACTGATGATGCAGGGAAGCAAAGCCACTTTAAGTAAAGTAGGGTGGCACTATACTTCTGTCTTGTGAGACAACCAAACAAAGCAGCCATAGCTATGCGTTCATGACAACGGCTTCAACAGGAACATATCCATGCTTCACATATCTGTTTTAACCCGTCGTTTCGTAGCTGCGAAACACCAGCCTAAACTCCCAGCAAGGAAACTTTCGCTCAGTTTGTTTGATTTCAAGAGGCATGAAGCATATATAAAGTATCGCGAGTCTCAAAAGTCAACGTATTAGGGACGCACTAGAAGTAAGAAAAGAAAGCGTGGTATCATTTAGCTCGGCAACGTATCAAAACATGATGGACCCCGGATCTTCTGAAGAACTTAGTCCAGCACTCGCATCCAAGAGCCAGTTAAGATCAAACCATGAACTCATGTCACCCAACTCATTGAAGAACGAATCAGCCTCGAACTCCCCTCCAATACCGGCATTGTCGTCAGAAATGGTGTAGAGCCCCATATCCGTTACTGGAGCAGCCACAACCTCATTCCCATCCACTTCCTGGCCCTGAGCCATAGATAGTAGAGAATGCCCAGCCGCAACCTCTGCACTGGGTGGTCGGTTGGTTGTTGACTTCCAAGATTCGGATGTTAAATGAACTAGTCTTTCTAACTTGACCACGGCATCTGCAGCTACACTCCAAGTCTTTGCAAGATATTTAAGAAGCTTGACGCATGCGCCAGCATTGCTGTTAAAAGCTGCAAGAGAAGTGTCTTGCTTGATCTTGGGTACAACCCAGAGGCAGTAGAGAAACGTAATACCGCTGACAAATACTGTATGCGCAGTCAACCAACTATTTGATAACTTGAAAAATCGGTGTAGTTCCGAGTTGATGAGAATTGTTGCGACAGCACTCTCGTAGCAGATTTTCCATGAATTAAAGCTGGGTCTGGTTATTGCTGGCGACGGGCGATAAAGCAACATGATACAATGGTGGTATTTGAGCTCAAGACTCTGGATAACGCCATCTGAAGTGCTGCGTCGGAATCCCCGCCGAAATTCGGCTCTGAGTCCCTCAAGTAAGGCGTCACAGCGTTTTTGGACATCTGGCTGCCAGGTTTCGAAGTCTGTTGGCCAAGGGAACCGATTAGGCAGGTTGACGACTCTGTAGATCATAAGCTTGATCTCTGCTGTGATCTGGTCAAACTTGAATGAATACTGTGCCGCAGCATACGGGTTAACCATGACTCGCGCTCGTTTTGTTGGGTTATATGGAGAGCGAGCGCTTTCGGGTGTTAAGGCATGACTTCCAGACAAGTCTTCAGCACGTTCTCCAGAGCGACCAGCACAACCAGGAAACTCTATATCGATAGCTTCGTCTCGAAGAGTCAGTGGTCTCCCAAGAACAACAGCAAGACTTCTTTCTAACGAATAGGCTGACCAGAATATTCCCCTTCTAAGGTTGATGCGAAGATGAGAGTTTCCGGCTTTGGCAAGTGGAGAAACGCGATGATTATCTACCCCACGACGCTGAAATCCAAGATCAAGACAGCTAGCAATGATATTCATGACCAGAAACCAAGCATTAGGCCCATCTTCAAAGTAGAAACTTGTCAGTGCCAAGAGAAGCATTACCTGAAGGCCTTCAATGCTGTCATGCAATGCAAGAGTTCCAATACGTTGCATGGCTGTTGCAAGATAACGTTCGGAAGAGAACTCGACTGATAACCGCGATTCAAGAATTCGCGCCCCTAGAGCTAGAACAAGAAATACTTGCACTGAATGGAAAGGAGATAGCGATGCTTCTACCTCTTCCAAGGGAGGCATTTGCATAGATCCAGCCTTCTTTGTCGTATAAAGATACTCGAGGTTCTCTAAGATACTGTCTTCGTCGAGAAATGGGTACAGCGGGTGAAGCGTCTGAAAGTAAGCATCCGCGAAATGTTGAAGATCAACCTCCGATGTCCAATGTGGAGGGAAAGGATGATGGGCTGGTGAAGCTTTTCGCGCCACCGTACCTCCTTCAGGAGCTGCCCAATTAACCGACAGCCCTTGAGATTGTGGTATTGCGGAAAATATAAGTCGTGCAAAAGGAACTCCTGAGGAAGGACCCAGATATTTGGACTCCTTTGAGTTAGCCAACGACAACATTCCAACTTCGTGAGCTAATGGCTCGCTTGGGCCAATCTCCGTTGAGGCAGATGGGCTTAAGGATGTTGTGTTCTCTGTCGTAGATGACCGAACTGTTGGGACATTCTCTGCCTCAACATCTTGGGTTTCATGGCTAGCACCCTCCAAAGTAGTATGGTTTTGGCCGGTGTCCAGACCTGGAACATCCTCTGTATTTACAACCAGCTCATGTCCATCATAAACTTCATGTTCAAGATGGCTAGGATGATCGACAGGCGTAGGCAATGGTTGCTGCATGGGCCATGGTTGGGCTGATTCGATGACTGGGTCGGGATCGTACATGGGTTCGGGGGCTGTAGAGACTGTGATGGATGGTGCTATCGTTGTGCGTGATTCCACTTCCGGAGCTTTTTCCAACTCGTCGGGTGCTACCCGACGAAGCGAGTCCTCGAGTGAACGCAGACGCGCCTCCAATTTGGTAACATGACTATAACATTCACAAGTCAATCAACTGCTACTCAATATTGTTTCACGCTGGATCGTAACTGAGTTGAATTCTTTACTTACTTGACAGCATCGGGATTATTAGCAAAGTTTGCCCTGACGCATGGATGGCCCGAACGAGCACAGTTGGTGCAAGACGGCCTTTCATCGTCGCATCGGATTTTTTGACTGCGGCAACGGGCACATGCAGTGCCTTTCTTGCGGCCGGGCCCTGTCATTACAGACACCCCGGCTCGTTGCCGAGTTGATACGGGGGAGATGGGCTCTTCGGACCAACCAGATGGTCCGGTAGCATCTTCATCCATCGACCAGTTCTGTGCGGAGATATCTTGCAATTGAACGTAGAGGACCGGCTTATCGGGTGTTTTCTGTCTGATTTCCCATACAGAAAGCGTTGGAATGGTGACTGAGGAAATGAACGGGGAAATCCCGAGGTGGCCGATTAAAAAACAGGCCAGTCCTGCTTTCTTCATCCACGCGGGGTACGTGTGGCTTGGTTAGAGCACTCGATCGATGAAGACATGAGATTGTTCCGGATGCGGGGGTGGGGTCGCTATCGGCTTTTGCCCGGTGCTCGAGCGCTGAAGAGTCGAGATTATCGGCATAACCCGACAACGAGGGTCCGAGCAATGATTTTTCAATACTAACTTTCGGCTCCTGGTTTACACCTAGTACTGTCCATGAAGAGATAGATATTACTTTCATTCCAGTCGCTTAGCATCTCGACATTGTGGCCTTCTCCCTCATCATAGGCTTCTAATTCATCGACTTGAACAATCGTCATCATTCACAATGTCCTCACCAGCCCGCTACTACGCCAAGCCCGCCGAGGCCGTCACTTTCGCCAAGGGACTTTTGGTGAAGTCTGGTCTCCCGGAAGATGATGCTACTCTAATGGCCGAATGTCTGGTCCAAGCCGATACCCGTGGCGTGGTAAGTGGAATTCATCTGCTATCGATGAGTTAACTTCGGGTTGCCAAGAACTGACAACGATGATATTTAGGATACGCACGGATTGGCACGACTTCAGCAATACATCGAGCGTGTGCAGAGCGGCTTAGTTAATGCTAAGGCCGACATTAAAATAACTGAGAAGACTCCCTTGGCAGCCCATGCGGACGGAGATAATGGTTTCGGCTTCGTCGTTGCGTCCAAGGCCATGAAAGACGCCATTCGCCGCGCCGAGATATACGGTATCGGTATCGTGACTGCTGAGCATTCCAACCACTTCGGCATGGGCGCAACCTATGTCCTACAGGCCCTCAATGCTGGCATGATTTCTCTGGTCTTTACGAATTCTGCTAAGCAGATGCCACCTTTTGGCGGTAAAGAAACCCTGCTCGGCATTTCTCCTTTTGCTGCTGGTGCTCCCAGTAAGAATGAAGTTCCATACATTCTCGACATGGCGCCGTCCGTTGTCGCAAAAGGCAAGATTAGGAAGGCCGCCCGCAGAGGCGAGAAAATTCCCCTTGGTTGGGCGTACGATAAGGATGGAAAGCCAACAGAGGACGCAAATGAGGCTCTCAATGGTTCTATGGCTCCTATCGGGGGTCCCAAGGGCTCTGGTATCGCTATTCTCATGGACATCATGTCCGGTGTCTTGACCGGTGCTGCCTTTGGTGGCGAGGTCGGAGACCAGTACAAGGAAGCTCGCCCTCAAAATGTAGGCCATTGCTTCATTGTCATCAAGCCTGACATTTTTATGTCTTCAGAGCAATTCCGTTCAAGAATGGATACCCTTGTCCAGCGTGTTCACGGTGTGACACCGGCGGAAGGCTTCAAGGAGGTTCTTTTCCCTGGAGAGCCTGAATACCGCCTCGCCAAGGAGCGTGAGGCCCAGGGCCTGCCGTTTGCTGATGCCGAGAAGAAGATGTTTGAGGATCTGGCATCGAAATATGGCGTTCCAGAGTTGCCTCTATCTACCACGCCGCTGGCTTGAAACAATAATGAGTAGAATGTTTTACGATGGAAGGCAGTTATGGAAATTAACTTTCAATGCAAATGAAAATTTTGGCAGTGTTATCACAATACTAATTTGCTTACGATCATGTGTCTGCAATTATCCTTAAACGGGCGAGGTTTTGAATTTTGAAGTTTATGTAACACCTCAAATTTTACATGACAGAACTCGACGTAGCTATTTTGGCTGTGACAGATAAATATTCCATATCACCTCAAAGCAATATGATAAAAAGGTTCTACAAACGCAAGCCGCATTGATTGAAACCCAAAGCTGGGTATAACAAGCTGATTGTACTGTGGTTTTTCTCCACTAAGAGACAATTCGAAAAGACCCAATTCAGCAATCTGTTAAGCCAGAACTTTACCATACAAACTGCCATTCTAAAATCTATGTGGAATCATCACTGAAAAGAAAACTTTCCAAAAGCCTTTTGCATCGTACTAGCTAAAACCTATTTGCCTCTGAACGTCGCAAATGCTTCCTGCACAGACATGCCCTCGCGAATTGCTTTGGCGCACTTATCATCTGCATCTGCCAGTCCGGGAACTAGCTCAAGAACCTTCTCGGCCAGTTCTCCGGGGAGAAAGACTACTCCATCCAGGTCAGCAATGATATACCCGCCAGGACTAATGACTGCCTCCTGTTTGGCAGATTGAAGTTTGACGTCAACGTTGATTTCTGAGGGGAAGCAGACAGCGCCGCCTGCGGTTGTGCCAACTCCTCTGGCAAATAGCTAGTGTAGGTGTTGTTAGGATTTTGTTTGAAACATCTAGGATAATCGATGCTGGCTGTGTGCTTACCGGGAAACTCAAATCTCTGTGCTCTTGCAGATCTCGCAGGTGGCCATCGATTACAACACCTTTCGCCCCAAGGATCTGCGCCCTCAAAGACATGAGGCCACCATAGCAGGCGTTCACGTGAGGAAGGGGCTGTGAAATGAAGACAACTGAGTCTTTGGGGATTTGATCGATCTGATGCGAGCAAACGTTAGTCTTATTGTAGGGCAGCCATTGAATAGTTGAGAGTAAAATCACGTACGTAGTTGCCTTTGACCTTGGAAGCAGACGAATCGCCCTTGGGTGCAAACTTGACAGTAAACACTGGGCCGACTATTTTCGTCTTGCCTGCTTGAAACTCTGGCGAGTAAAGCACCAATCCCTCGAGGAAGCCGCCATCGGCACGGCCTAGCTTGGACAGACCATCTGAGATCTGTAATCAACGTGTATTAGCTTTTATAGCGCACATTGTGATAGTCTGCAGTGGTTCTTACGTCACAGCTTGACCACTTTGATAGACGCTCAACGACGTCTGAAGTCGACGACATTTTGGGTATGATGAATGCGGGGTACTCTGAGAGTTCGGGTGAAGGTTGTGTTTTTCGCACGAGAGTAGCGGTCAAATACCTTAGATAAGTAGTTGAAATTGATTTCCAACGCTGCTTCTACTGGAAGATGTCACCGCCGATCCCCGGATGTGTTGCCTGGGAGTCATAGAAAGCCGGGGTCTCGATGGTGGATTGCTATCATTCGGAGAAAAGCCGTTCTGTCACCGCCACTTTTTCGGCTTTCGGCCGAGGAGACCGCCTGCACCATTCCATTGTCAAGATGAATCATGATGTTTTGTGGCATCATCCTTATTCTGAAAGTAGGCATAGCTTCCTTGGGAAAATCAAGAACACTGATTAAACCATGATAGCTCAAGTTTGCGCTTAGCGAAGTCTCGAGCGAAGTCTGCAATCATTGTTTCATGCATTGAAGACGAAATGAAGTAAGACATACACAAGCCAAAAACATGTGGATATCAGCTTTGAATAAACATTCATAGATAACGTCATTTGACTTCGAAGCGTCTAAGTTGGATTACGTATAATACCTATGCTCTACCCGCAGAATACAGGACATCTCTCATTACACGCTCAATCGACTTCGCATAAACCTCCACACCCTTCATCTTGAGAACCGTGAGCTCCAATTTGGCCGCATTTTCAGTTACAAAGTCTGTGTATTCATCGCGAACCGTTCGGTTAAGGTTGATCTTCGCCATGCCATGCTTTCTAGCTGTCCTGAAGAGTTCATCCGAAACACCATGTGTACCGTGTAAGACAAGTGGTATGTCAGGAATGGCATTGTGAATGTCGTTCAACCTATAAATCGGTTTCTCATTAGCATCCCGCCACAGCAAGTAACACAGCAGAGAACTTACAAATCAAGCCTCCAGAACTTCTCTGGCCCTCCAGGTCCGTAATTTCCGTGAATGTTGCCAAACGACGGAGCGAGAAACTGCACACCGGTTTCTTTGACGAATTCTCTCGCAAGTTCGGGTCGAGTGAAGATCGTTTCAAGGTCTACAGTGGGCAAGCCATCCTCTCCGCCTTCCAATCGACCCATCTCTGCCTCAATTGCAATGCCTTTCGCGTTTGCAATCTCTACAGTCGCTTTGCATTGTCGCTTGTTCTCTGCCTCATCGTGTATCGATGCGTCAATCATGATGGAATCGAAAGGGAGTTCCAGAGCCGTCTTGACATCCTCTGGCTCAATGCAATGGTCGAGGTGCACAGCAATTGGCACTTTTGCTACATGCGCAGCTCCGATCACGTACTTGACGAACTCGGGACCTTGGAACCTCAATGTCCATGGAAACACCTGGATGATTGCCGGCGAATTGCATCTTTCTGCTGCTCGAATCACTGCGATTACACCGTCATCGTTATAGCTGCGAGGTTATGAGTATCGTTTAGCAATTTAGGCTGGAGGCGTGCCTACCAGTTGTACGCGCCAACAGCGTAACCGCCTGTCCTCGCCGCCTCAAGGATTTGGTACGTCCGGTTGTTGTGAGGAAAAGATGCCATATTGAATACCGTGCTCACTGATCATGCGTGATATCTTTTCGTTAATGGATCTGTATACTGGGAAATGGCTTTCATATAACTTGTAAATGTTGATAGAAATGAAAGACGGATTAGGCCCACTCGGCATCATGCCGAGTGCACCACAAGGGCTAACTATTTCAGATTAACACGGCGAAAGCTACATCAAACCGAATACTTCACTTCCTAGACTAATGGGATGATTGAAAATAAACCTAGAAACGAGTCTTCACGTCTTGTCACTGGCGCAGTCGACTAAGTGAAAGCTGCTGGACATAATGTTTATTGGAACGGTACAAGTACCGAAAGCCAGATTGAAGACTAAAATCCCTATGTGACATTATGCCATGCAACACTACTCTAAGCTTCCAATGGATAGTCATACAGAGTGGAGGGATTCTTAACCCACAAATCCTCCCATTCCTCCTCACTGAGCCAAGTACTCAGAGACTGAATCCACGAAGGGTTATCGATCTTTAGGAAAGGTTCCTGTTCATCTTTGCTTCGAAGATGCCTGTCCTCATGTCTCTGTGTATGTGGCCAGTCGCTCCCCCACACCAATCTCTTGGAGTTCGTCTTGACGAGTTCCTGGACGATTTCTTTGAGATCTTCAAAGTAAGGATCCGCTCGCGAGCACCGGTATGGCGCCGATATCTTGATCCATAGATTTCCTCCCTTCAAAGTATCCAAAAGATCCTGCCATCCGGGCTGTTCCCTCACAGGTATGGAGTCGGCAGGCGTCATGCTCGCAGCCTTGACGAGTCCAATGTGGTCCAGAACCACCGGCAACTTTGAGCTGCGAATGGTCTGGCCGAGCTTTTTCCAATGAGAAATGTTTGGTTGCTGGATCTGGATGCTCCAGCTATTTCCGATGGCATGCCACTGTAGTAAACGTTTGGCTGTGGACTCAATGAGCTCGACTTGCTTCTCGACATCGCTCATAGCGTTGGCTTTGAAGAAGTCCAATCTGACGCTTCGGATTCCAGCCTCGTGGTACTTGTCAAGTAGTTCGTCTGTTACGGTGTCCAGGTCGAGGACGCAGATACCTCGGGCTGTGCCGTTGAACTGCTCCAGATAGTAGAGCAAGGAGGAGCAGTTCGCTCCGTATGAGAGTCCGTGAGCAATGCAGACGTGAGAAACGCCGATGGATTTCTCAAACGCCTTGAGCTGCTCTAGGGTTGCAACTGAAGGAGTGAAGTGTCTTCCTGATGCAAATGGGAATCGTTCTGGTTCGAAAATGTGGTGGTGAGTGTCCCAGGCACCCTTGGGGACAGGTTTGGATGAATTGCTGATTGAACCCATGGTTGAGACAAATTGGACAGTGGCTGAGGTTGTAGTTAGAATGCGATTATAGGGGACAAAAGACAATTGGACATTCGAAATTCACAATGAATAAAGACAGTTGGGTTAAATGATTCATGAATATGTATCCCGGTCGCCGTCCGGATGCGGTACTAGTATATTCTCTGGCAATGATTCGAGGCCTGTGTCGCCAAGCCACATCGGCTTTACCCCGATCGTTAATAATGTTACTTATGAAGCGACTCACAGAATTAGAAAGCACAATGGTACTATACTGTTGACTGTTTAAAGCATATTTATTTAAGATTATCCCACAGAACAGAGTTTTGTTGTGCCATGTTGTCCTCGTCTTCGCCGCGATGCATACCTCCTCTGATAGTCCTGTGGCAAAATACCCTTTCGGCAGTGATATTCCAGCCGAACGTCTGATGCGTTGAATTACAAAGTCTCAGATTAATTCTCACTTATGGTAATTCACCGACGTTACGCTTTTGGACATTTCGTTGCTATTAGGGGCTTATGTCATACACAAGCCATAGTTTGAACAGATCATGCAATCCGTATTTACAAAGGGCCTGCAATAGATTCCTCTCGCTTATGCAACATTTATCTCCCAAGGTATCCGTAAACAATCAAATGATGTTTAAAATGTGCTTAACCATAGCTATCGCCTTCTCTTCCTCGAGGCGGCTCGCAACAAGCTGAAGACTGATGGGCATTCCGTGAACAGCATTGGCATCATCTATACAAAATGTTAACATGTTTCAATCTTACACCAGAGACCTAAACTCACACTCAGCCGAAATAGCCTCGCACACAGGCCCGAGAGGTTTCTCTGTCGGGGTAACCAAGTCCAGGCTTTCGTCCGCGGACAAGCCGGTGGGGAACGAGACACAAGAATAGTCAAGGACATTATAGACGCCCGTGTATCCGACTAAATTTCCCGGTCAGCAAAACGAGTTGTGCCTCTGCCGCAAAAAAGCCTTACCATGCTTGAAGGTGCCGTTCTTGACACTAGTAAAGGGCGTCGTAGGACACAAAATCGCATCGATGCCCGCCGCATTCCAGCGATCGAGATATCGCTTCTGGAAGGCGGTCCGTTCCAAATGCAGTTGCCACATATCATACGTCCCCAGTTCCTTTGCCAGCGAGTAGGCCGCCATTTCAGGTCTCCACGGCTCTCCCGTCTTATCCAACTCCTTCTTAATTGAGATACCGCCATCTGCGACGAACATGCGATTCAGCAGGCTCACTCCCTGCTCCTGATCCTTGGGATCCCAGTCTATTATTTCGACACCGGCTTCCTTCAGCTTATCAACAGTCAGGCGGAGAGCTCGCGTAACAGGAGGAGTTGGCCGGACTATGCCGTCATCCCACATGACAGCGATCCTCAGCGTTGCCGGGAGCTCAACCTCTCGCCATGCAATGGGAACACATCGCGGATCGTAACACCATGTTTGGCGGTTGATGACGGATTTACTGTAAAGTTCAAGATCCGTGATTGTACGTGTCATAGGACCGTTCACGGATTGGACGGCTTCCTGGCCGCCCATGCCAGAACGGCAGCCTAGGGTTGGGAAGCGGCCGAACGAAGGTCGGAGAGTGAAGATACCGGTGCATGCTGCCGGGATACGCAGGGAGCCACCTATAGGTCCTCAGTTAGTAATGAAAATGGCCATATTCAGAAGAATGATCAGCTTACCAATGTCAGTTCCGATACCTAGGGGACTACCCTTCATCGCAATCAAGGCAGACTCTCCGCCCGAGCTTCCACCACTAGTCAAATCCCTGTTCCTAGGGTTGACCGTCCTTCCAAAGACGTTATTAACAGACTCAGCAATCATCATCGCCGTTGGGACGTTGGTCTTGACATAGAATACCGCGCCAGCTTCTTCGAGAAGGGTTGCAAGAACAGCATCATACTCGGCAGGGCTGCCAACATGAGAGGCAAATCCCACTGTAGCGTCCAAGCCTTTGAGGTTGAAGTTGTCCTTCAACGAGATTGGCAGTCCGTGGAAAGGGCCCAGGGGCGTCCCCGTACGCTCCAGGTGCTCATCAAGTGCTTTAGCCGTAGCGAAAGCGCGATCAAAACAGGTTTCGGACAAGCAGTTTGTCTTTCACGACACGGTCAGCGCCTCGTAACCGCTTCATTTGGCAAGAATTACCTAACTTACTAACTGATGCGCTGCAACGGCTCTCTTGCAAAATGCTCTGGTGACATCTGAGGATTTGAGATGGCCCGAGGCAAGTTTCGGGAGTAACTCGGCAGCTGTGCTGTTGGTAATGGCGAGCTCCGTCTCCGTGAACCAGCCGGACGTTTCGGGCCATGTCGTGACATCTTTCTGGGACTCCGGTGGCAGAAGGTGTTTTGGAACGCACCATTCCGAGGGGAAAGTAGATAAGAGAGCTTTGCGCTTCTTTGCGCTCGCAAGCTCCCAGGGAGCGACGCTGTCGGATTTCAAGCTTCCCATGGTGAAGACACTCGGTTGTCGGTTGTCTGAAATCAAGGCAGTATGTTGGATGCGCGGGGGGATGGTTTACAAACAGTTGGAAATGCGCCTCACGTGGGGTCACTTAGCCCGTGGGAAACCGAACTTGTTAAATACAAATACATACACGTAGCGTCGTAAATCGGTTCTGAACACCATGGCGCAAGACGGCGGGACACGCCGGTCTTCGGCACCATTGACACGGGCACATACAGCCGAACTTCTTGCTGATGAGGTAAAGAGAGAAAAGTCAACAGTGCTAAAAAGGACGCCGCGGGAACTGTGAAGGATCTTTGATTGGCGTGCGACTGATAAGATGGTCGGGAAACCAACTTGCATACCTCGAGCTGCAGCATGCGCATGAAACCCAGGCTATCGTTACCCAGACCCCAAACATGATAATGTTGCATATTTATCGATGACAGGATAGACGGAGAAAGTGGGGTCTCGTATGGTATACACGACCCCGTGGGCAAATTCAGACGATAAATGTAACCTTGAAGATGTCCTGGCAAAAGCTGGTGAACTGCGGGGATGGTGGCGCTAAACCGCCTACGTGCCACGGTCCATCTTCAACCCGTCAAGCAACCCGTTGATAGTGATCGTCTTCATAGCGCACCAAAGAGGAACGGCAGTAATTGGTAGTTTGCCGTGTTATGAACCAATGACGTACCCAACAAGCCTAATAGAGCGGCAAAAGAAAGCCACAACCATACGAGGCATGGCAATGATTTGTTGGCGCATCGGAAGAATATTCCGACGTCAATGATCCCCGCACTTTGCAACATCATTAAAGAGAGGTTGATGCGATTTCCACCTACAGGGCGCGATAATTGACATGTTTGTTCCCTTCAAACACCGAATTCCCGTAAAAACACGACCAATCGCGAAGTGGGACGCGTCTAGCGATATCTACTAGCCCTAATTCTCTCTCTTGGTTGATATCGCCGAGCGCCGATGACTCAAAACTCCGGCCTGAAAATAATTGACATCTTCAACTTCTCGCCAGCCAGCCGAGTTGAAACCTAGCGCGCACAAGAGGTGACGACACCGCATAGCGTATCCGGCGTATTTCAAAACAGAACAGACGAGTCTGGAGCTTTAAACGTTCTCGGACAAGGATCACGACAGGCTGTAAGCTTATCGCCCGCTCTGGTTTTCTGTGGAGACATTGTAATGATCGTCTGCAGGATCAGATAATGATAACGGTCTTGGGAACTCGCCGTGCTGCAACTTGATCGAATCACGGGCGTCCCGCAAGACGGACCGGGCGGTTATCAACCCCAGAGAATCGTCAGAGATAAGGCTCCATCGCTCCAGAATATGCCGACAGTCGTCTACCTGGGATAATCTTCGGGTTCGGATCTTGAGTGCATTACAAGCCAAACAGCAATAGGTTCGAACGGCAAAATACTGTGCAGGCAAAATTGCTATCAGTTACTCTTGTCGTCGTCTTATCTTGATAGTATCTCCTAGGTAGGTGGTGATAGTCAACGCCAAGGGCAGAGGGTTGATAGAGGCCGAAACAACACGGCTCAGCGACCCCTTAAGAAGCAGACGATTTTCCTCGGGTTCAGTTCAATCTATGAGGAAAAAGAATGATCGAGGTTTTTGGTCGGTAATCAATTACTATCGCTCATTCAACTTGTAAAGGCTGCAGGTGTTTCCATTGCCAAGATGGCAACGTCTAAAATTCGTCAATATTTGACCGGCGACTACCAGCCTGGGGAACGCAAGCTCATTCAAAAGGTTCGTTATTGTCCTATAATGTCGTCTTTTCATGCCGCTAACCCTAGATAGATTGACTTCTTCATCCTGACATTTTGTTGTTTGAGTTACTTAGTAAACTACGTAAGTACCTACTTCATATTGCTGATCCTCGCCCTGTGCTGACCCAACCCAGCTCGACCGCACCAATCTCAACAATGCCTACGTTTCTGGCATGAAAGAAGAACTAGGGTTCGTAGGAGATCAGCTGAATCAAATCAACACCTGTTTTACCATAGGGTATGTTACTCCATCGCTTTATCGCCGTAATGGTAGCTGACCACCGACCAGCTATGTCATCGGCCAGGTCCCATCCAACCTATCCCTTCACTATGTGAAGCCGCGTTTCTGGTTCCCGCTCATGATGGTCATTTGGGGCGGCCTAACAATGTGCACCGCCAGCGTGCACAGCCCAAAATCCATAATGGCCATCAGGTTCTTCCAAGGCTTGGCCGAAGCCTCAACTTTTGTCGGCACCCACTACATCCTCGGCGCATGGTACACGGAGCGGGAGCTAGGAAAGCGCAGCGGCATCTTCACCGCGTCCGGCCTCGCAGGTACCTTCTTCGGCGGATTCATCCAGACAGGTATCCACAGCAGCATGGACGGGCTTCACGGTTTGAGCGGATGGCGCTGGCTTTTCATCATCGATGGCCTGCTGACTATCCCTGTTGCCATCTACGGCTTCATCTTCTTCCCTGATACTCCGCATACGACTCAGGCGTTCTACCTGACTGCAGAGGAACGCGCTCTCGCTGCGTCACGCGTGCCTCAGATTCAGGAAAAGTCACCGCTGACCTTCCGATTCCTCAAGAAGGTGCTTTCTTCGTGGTATTGGTGGGGTTTCGTCATGCTTTGGATCATTGCTGGAGAGACCGAGTCGTTCAGCACCAACTCCCTGCTCGGACTGTATATGAAGAGCCACCCGGTGAACAAGTACACCGTTGCCCAGCTCAACAACTACCCAACCGGTGTGCCTGCAGTGGGTATCGTGTCTACCCTCTTTTGGGCAACTCTCACGGACTTCCTTGGTGGCAAGCGATATCTGGTCAGCTACTTTATCGGTCTTACAGGCATTGTTACGTCGGTAATGATTCTAGTGGCATCAAAAGATCCTACCAGCGCAAAGTCCACATCTGTCGTCTTTGGTGCTTATTACTGGGCAGGTGCAGTCTACGCCTGCCAGGCGACCTTCTTTGCGTGGTGCAATGACGCGATGAGATATGAAGAAGGGGTTTTCCGCGGCGTTGTGCTCGCTGGTATGAACCTGGGAAGCAACGCCATCAACGCCTGGTGGAGTATCGTCTTTTATGGCGCGTCGATGGCGCCATGGTTCACCGTATGTGTTTTTCACCCCGGGAATATTGTGTGGAAATATGCTAACGCGGCTGCAGAGAGGCATGTGGGCCATGATCGCGAGCTCTATAGCCCTGATTATCTGGACTATCGGGCTGACATATCTCGCGCATAGAGAGGACAAGAGAAGGGTCATTAATGCTCATGAGACGGTGTCTGTTGATAAAGGGGCAGATATAAAGGATGATGGTGTCTGATCAGAGTGTTCAAGTAACCGCGCTTAGATGAAGGCGTTGTCGTTTTCTTTGAGAGAAATGATGTTTATCACATGGAGCCGCCAGATATGTTTTGCATAATTAGGGACAACAACCGGAGAGACCAGAAGCTGCATGTCGGATTTCGTTCAGAGGTGCCATTGAGTGGATTGATAGGATCCGACTATGGAGAACCAATCCCGATTTTATGGAACCCTCCGTACTCCTTACAATCTTGTAGCAGGCACTCGTAGCATAATGTTGAAGATTGGGGGGTCATGGTATTTCGAGGAAGCGGCCGTAGGCTAAGACCACTGCTAAGTCCGTAAGGAAGATACGTCCGTGGCTTATCGTCTCCGCGTTAACGGCAGCGAAAGGGCGCGACAAAGGGCGAGACCGGTGTAGCCCCTGAGAAGGAAATTCGCTCCCACAGCATACCGAGGCCGGCAGTGGGGGCTCCATCGCATAAGCTCGCGGGTGCCGAGGCCGGACCCATAAGAACGGGCCCAGCCCCACCGGAAGCCGAGGATGACGGATTTGGCGCGGAACAAGAGTCAGTCACCGCGGTCGAATTCCGCTGCAAGTGTAGAATCGTTTCCACGCACATGGTGAGTGTAGGATGCTTTCATTTCAGCTAAAGTCGTACAATTAACATATTTTGATTTGTTAGATTCTCTGTAATTGTACCTATGTTCTTCCTAAGCTGCAAAAGCTGCTGAATGCAGTGCTTTAAATGTAGCAGTCAATACTCAGAGCTTGGAGCGGAATTAAGATTTAAAGTGGGTCCAACGGCCAGGCCGGCCCCCGCGATCGGCACCGAAATCCGATCCTTGGATCAAGGCCATCAAACAACTGCGTCATTCTTCCACCCGTCAATGAGTCTCTCTTGACGCAGAACTCTCCACTATCCGCAGACCCTGTGGCCACTGGACCCACGGCGTCCAAGATGACGGGACGACGGGTAATCCGGCGCCTTCGGAGAGATGACGAGGTTGCTCCGCCGAAAAGTTCTACGGAGGCTTCTAGTCGCTTTCGACTGCAGACATAAATAATGTCCCGGGTCTTGGCTTCAAGACTCCTTGTAGCACATCATTGAAGATACTACATCATTGGAACATTTTCAAGATACCCTTACTTTTTAATTTCACAATCGTAATCATACTCAATGTCTACACTACCATCAGATTATAGTGACCGCCCAGTCGCGGTGCTCGGAGGAGGAGTTCTTGGTCGCCGCATTGGTGAGCCAACAAATCCCGATACTTCGTAAACATCTATACTGACAACAAGCAGCCTGCATTTGGGCCTCTGGCGGCTACAATGTCCAAGTCCGCGAACCAGACGCCAAACAACATCAACCCTGTCTGGACTACGTGAAGCAAAATGTCGACAGCTATCCAGCATCCGGAAGAAGACGCCCTGGAACCGTCCAGGTCTTCCAAGACCTCGAGACTGCCGTCAAGAACGCCTGGCTTGTAATCGAGGCCGTCCCAGAGAGAATCGAGATCAAGATCGACACTTTCGCCGAGCTCGAGGCCAAGGCCCCCACGGATGCCATCCTCGCCAGCAACTCGTCGTCGTATCGCTCCTCGGAAATGATTGCAAAAGTCAGGGACGAAACGAAGACCCGCATCATGAACACACATTACTATATGCCGCCCTCGAACATGGTCGTCGAGCTGATGACTGACGGATACACAAACCCGGATATCTTCCCATTCATGACGGAGAGACAAAAGGAGGTTGGCACCAAGCCGTTTACGGCGAGAAAGGAGTCTACAGGATTCATCTTCAACCGTCTGTGGGCGGCGATCAAGCGAGAGACCTTGTCTATCCTGGCAGAGGGTGTCTCGAGCCCGGAAGAGATTGATGCCCTGTTTTACGAGCTCAGCAAGCACGGCAAGGGTCCATGCCTGATGATGGACGGTAAGCCCCTCATCCCCATGACAAATCTTTTATCCGAAAACAAAGGGAATATGCTAACGGACAAACAGAGGTCGGTCTCGACACCGTCGCATTCATCGAGAAGCACTACGTCAAAGAGCGTGGCCTCTCACCCGAAAACACCGTCGACTTCCTCGAACGCGAGTACCTCTCCAAGGGCAGACTCGGACACAAGTCCGCAAAGGGCGGCCTATACCCGCACCTCCCCAAGATCGTAGCCCTCGATCTCGGATTGGCGCACTCGGACAACCACACGACGTCAGGCCAGGTCCTCCAGCTTTCTCCCGAGGGCAAGCTCGAGCGCGTGCTCGTCGACCGCCAACACGTCCCCGACGGCATCGACATCGACGAGCAGACCAAGCGCATGTTCTGGACCTGCATGGGGACCCCCGGCGAGCAGGACGGCGCCGTATACTCCGCCAACCTCGACGGCGGCGACGTGCGGTCCCTCTTCGTCCCCGGCGTGATCAACACCCCGAAACAGCTCGTCGTCGAGCCCGCCTCGAGGAAGATTTACTTTAGCGACCGCGAGGGCATGAGGGTGTACCGATCCAACCTCGACGGGAGCGAGCTCGAGACGCTCGTCGTCGGCGGAAACGACCCGGAGGACCTCAAGGCGTGGTGCGTCGGCATCTCGGTCGCGCCCAAGCTGGGCAAGTTCTACTGGACGCAAAAGGGCGCGCCCAAGTCCGGCCAGGGACGCATCTTTTGCGCGAACATCGACATGCCCGCGGGCAAGACGGCCGAGACGAGAGACGACATTGTCTGCTTCTTGGACAAGCTCCCCGAGTGCATCGATCTGGAGGTCGACGAGGACGACAACGCCATCTTCTGGACCGACCGCGGCGAGATCCCCAACGGCAACACGCTCAACAGGGCGACGATCGACCCCAAGACCGGCCTGCTAGAGTCTTCTGGCGCGAAGAGGTTCGAGATTCTGGTGAGGCATTTGAACGAGGCCATCGGTGTCAAGTTGGACAAGGAGAACGGACATGTTTACTTTGGCGACCTCGGCGGCAACATTTACCGGTCCAACTTGGATGGGTCTGAGAAGAGGAAGCTCTTCTCGGATGACGACCGCGCTATTTCTGGTATTGCCCTGCTTCGCGACTAGATTCGTGCGTAACTGTAAAACTACAATGGCGTTTGGGATGTTGGCGGTTCTTGAGTAGACTAGACTAGACGGTTGGGCACGCGGCCCTATCACGACTGATGATTCCCTGTAGACTAATACGAAAAATCAATTTCATTTCTATCGTGTATCTCATACTTCTATGCTCTAATGTGCTTTTCTTTTCTTTTCTTTTTTTTTTTTTTTTTTCTCTTCTCCGGATCTCAGATCTTCGTCTACGGAGCTTCCGCAGCAACAGCATAGCTGACCTTGGACTTGCCCTTACTCCTCGAAATCTTCCTCACGGTAGTCTCGCCGCACAAGTCGGTGGTGTCAACGTGCGTGCCGCCGCAAGGATACACCTCGGCTCCGACAATCTCCACGACCCTAAACTTCTCCCCCGGCGGCGCGAGGCTGCGGTCGGGAATCAGGCGTTCGAGGCCGCGCTTCCGGAACTCCTCCTCGTCCCAGAAGTCGACCTTGACGGGCATCTTGGCGTCCAGGTACTCGTTGACCCTCTGCTGGATCGAGTCCTTGTACTTCCCGTCGATGAGGCCCTGGAACTCGCAGCTCGCGGAGTCGGGGACGTGCGACGCCTTGAGCTCGTCGAAACCCTCAACCTCGTTCTCGAGGAGGTGCCTGACGGCGGCGCCGAGGACGTGGCCCGCGGTGTGGTAGCGCGAGTACAGGAGGCGTTTCTGCACGTCAATGGCCTGCTCTACCTCCTCGCCCTCCTTGAACTGTTGGTCCGCGGAGTTGAAGCGGCCAAAGTGCAACACTTGTCCGTCGCGGACGGCGTCCATGCGCGCTGAGCGCACTGAAAATGATGCGCCGGACAGGCCGGTGATTGAGCCGACGTCGGAAGGCTGGCCGCCGCCCTGGGGGTGGAAGATGGTCTTTTCAGTGACGATCACGTGGTCTTGGTCGCTGCCATCTTTGAACAGCAGGCGGTTTGCTTCTTCGAGGTCTGCGAAGGGGCGGATCGCCGTGACGATTGTCTTGAGGGTGTGGAGTTTGGCGTTGTGCTGGAAGGCCAGGTATGTGCGTGCCGCGGCCATTTTGACTGATGATTTTCGGTTTTTAGTTCCAAACTTTCAGTTGGGGATGAAGTTTATTTGTACCGGTTCAAATGTTTGTTGTCGCCGCTCTTCCTCGTTGTTCTAATGGCTTCCGTGGCCGTTTGACATGAAGGGCGTGAAAATGATGAAATGTGGTTCAAGCGCCCTTCTGAGGGAGTTTAAGTGGGTCCGTTAAAATGACACAGTCAACTCGACCAGGTGTCAACTAAGCGAGGACTTGACAGGCACCGTATCTTTGCATGGCGTTTTTGAGCTCTCATTAAGAAAGTCTCGGCGAGGTACGGTATGTTGTTCTACGATAGAGTTACAAAGTAAGCTTGCATAGTAAACCGAGATAGCCTCGTATGCTGTCGCTGCAGTTGGCTTGATTGAGGGCTCATTGGCTGAGCCTTCTGAACACACTGTGTTTACCATCAAAAGAGAAAAGAGAAAAGACACGGAATCAAAAGTATTTTCTATGCTTGTGAAATAATAGGGGAAGCATATGGAAGTTGGTGACTCAATACTCACAAGATCTCAATGTTGTCGGCCAGCGATATACGTAATTGCGTGCCAGCTACCTGATTCTGGAAATTTTGCCTATTGTAGTTATTGTACCCCAAACAGTAATATGTCGAATGCAGCTGTCGCTACTAGATGAGCAAGTATTATTAGATGGACAGTCTGCATCTTTGTCACTAGTTGACCGTTGCAACATCTTTTCAACTACCTATGTATGTAGAGACACCTTGCGTTAGACGCATGAAAATTGAACCATTTCTTATGATCCTGAACCTTCTTCCGGCTAATATATTGATAGATTTACTCTAGCATAGACTCGAGGGTACAACGGTAAACATAATCAGTCATTATACATACCAAGACACGTTAGTTGCTCAAACAAGCCAAGCCAATGTACCCACGTTGTGGTAAAACAGACTCCCAGATGTCTTCCTTCAATGATTAAGTAATGAACAAGACTGGTTGAAGATATTACGAAAGAGGATTGAAATACATGTCCCTGTTTGAATGGTATTTTTGGACTGGTACTGCTGTCATGTGATAAGTCCTCCACGTTGTTTAGTACCAGCCAGCTCTTACTGGCTACATGCATAGTAGACTCAAGTGCCCTTCTCCTCCAACCAAAATGTCAGGTAGTGGCCATGGCAAACAAAAATAGGATGAAATCTTTCCCATCTGCAGCAAAGGAATCTCCACCCCAAAGCGGCATGCTGCACGATAGAACTATCTCTGGGGTGATTGCAAGTGTCTCCGCGGGGGTAAGGCTGTCCCGGCTTCAGCCGCTTCCTCAGATCTCCCATCTTCTGACCATTGTTTCTATCCCTCATAGTCCAGGTCAGGCTTCGCGTTTCATCCAGCTCTCGCGCATGGGTTGCACGGTCCAATGAGGTCACTCTCCGCAGACGGAAACGGAACCTGCCAGAGCTCTCTGCACGTCTTATGTGAGTTGACCATCTGCAAATTCATGCGTTCATATGGTTGATACATTTCATTTACCTAGGTACCCAAAGTTTCAACTTATTATGAAGTAAAAATAATAATCGGATAGCTGTGCTCGGATATCTAAAGCGCGTTGAAATAACAGCTTCCAACTTTCTCTCGGAACTCCCAGCTCGGACTCCCACGCTCGTTTGGGGGTCCATTGAGGGCTAGAACCCGGGTTTGCGGTAATATCCAACACCCGCATTTAAGAGCCCTCGGTAACTATCGTACCAAACAAGTGCCTTTTTCATTACATTCCCCCGCCGTGTCTGAGAGTCAATCCATTAAGCGGCAATAGCGAGCAGGGACAGCACGGGCAGAATGTAGCTAACTGGGCCTGAGACAGTAAGGCCTGAGGCAGCAGACTTGCCGTCGCTGCCGCTGCTCTTGGAGTTTGTCGCGTTGCAAGCGAGGAAGCCGTTGCGCTCGGCAGCGCCGGTGTGGGTCATGGCACCGACATAGACACAGCTGCCCTGGTAAGAGGGGTTGAAGACGACGCGGTCGGCGCCGGGAGCTCCTGCGGGTGCATGTCAGCGGCCGTGCAAAGGATTGAATGCCAAGACGGGGGTTCCATTGGGGCACATTTGCATCCGAACAACATCGGGCCGCATGATAAACAGGCGAGAAAGGGAGAGAGAAGACAGAAGGGAGAAAGGGAGAAACGTACTGCCAGTGTAGTTGCCAGATGAGAGGATGGGGAACTCTTGGTAAGGACCAGAAGTGGCAAAGACGAGACCCTCACGGTTGTTGAAGCGGTGGGGGTACTGGCTGGTTCCGAGCTGCTGGTTTGCAGCGTAAAGACGGCAGCCCTCAGCGGTGGCCTCGTTAAGCTGCTTGCGCGAATACTTGGTGGTACCGCAGGTGACAGATTCGATGCTGTTGGTTCCCTGACGCTTATCGAGGGCGATGGGATTCGCGGCTGTGAGGACGGCGCAAAGGCCCAAGACGAGGGTGGATTTGAAGCTAACCATTTTGGTGAAATGAGCGGGTATCGAGAGAGGCGATGTGACGATGTAAGGTTGTAGTGAGAGAATAAGAGTGAGAGTAAGTGTGCGGGAGTGACGGATTGATGAGGTTATAGAAAAGAAGAAAAAAGTTAAAAAAAAACCAAAAAAAGGAGATCGACCAAGAATGAGCAAACGGCAAGAGGCGGGAAGAAGCGTTCTTGGTGTAACGGTTTCGAGACGTGGGACAAAAAGTGGATTTAACCGTGATGGAAGGAAGGGACGGCCCCGCGATAAATAAAAGATGGGTTAGATTTTTGATGGGGTTTCGAAATGCAAATGTTTGAAAACAGCAATAAAGGAACAGAAAACTGGCAAGGAGGCGCCCAGAACTTGGCCCGGCGCGATGATCCCGTCCGCCAAGTTCGCATCTGGCAATCGATAGCGCCTGGTTCAGCTGTCTAGACACTACAATGTACGTACTAGAAGCCCCTAAGAACCACCTTAGGGGACCCCGAGGCCGCTGAGAGAAAAAGTCAAAGTCACGTGTAATGTCTTTTGAGCCAATCACGGTGCTGGAATTAAGCACATAAGCTTAAACTTGTGCCTGTTTGGGAGAGGCCGCCCGGTTCTGGGCCCACCTAGCTTGCCGCCCTTTCCTTACCATCTCCTCTTTTTACGGAGGAAGGAGCCGAATATGCAAAACAGTTCAGCTTAGAAGAGTCACACCCACATAAACATACACATACACATACTACCTAGGTACGTATACGTAGTTCGGATACACCACTGGGCGTGCAACACTGGGTGTACAACGCAGTTGCTCAGCTCCATAGGGCCACAGGGCGGCCTCAGAGCTAATGTTTGCGAATAAAAGCCACACTACAATATCTGGGCTTGCAGAACCGGCTTGCGCGTTCCTGTACCACGCCGCGGCCCTGCAGCGGCAACGGCAAAAACATTAACATAGTACTAGTAAGTGGCATCAGGAGATGTCTACATACTCCGTACTGAATGCCTATCTAGCTGCGCCTTCCTTAAGCCTACCAAGTCCTCACTGGTCGTGCCTTCCCAGATGGAATGACAACGTGGCAAGCTAAATGTGGGGCCTCCTTGCTATGTATACGTACATTCCGTCTATTACATAAGCCCACTGCATCGACAACGGCGACGTCAGTGAGGCCGATACGCCTCCACGTGGGTTCGGGTTGTCTGCACTTTCCATGGTTTCCAGGTTGCCTCTCCGCTTTGCATCTTTTACACCTCACATCACCACTGCCAAACCCCCGCCGTCTTAGGAAAAGGCCTCGTTACAACTTCGTATCATTTCAATCTTCACACAATCTTCACAACTATTCCCGCACAATGAGCGTTAACAGTGCCATTGCTGCGCTCCCTGCCTACAAGGCCCTTGACGCCTTCGTCAAGGCTGGTGATAAGAAGTCACTTGAGGACACGGTACAAAAGTTCAACGATCTGGCCAAGGCTTCCGAGTCCGAATTAGAAGACTTCCTCTGGGATACATACAACGCCATTTTTGCAGTCGCCAAGCAAACATCCCCAGAGAAACAAGAGCCCCTCGCCGATTTCGTACAACGTCTGCGCGAGACCACCGTCACTGGCTCCAACGGCCAAGCCCTGCATCTTCAAGAGAGTGTTGTCTGGAAGGACCTGCCTACTTTTGGATGGGTTGCTCGCGATTTATGGAACTTTGGTATGTATCCCTGAGTTTTCTGTGCGAATGCTCAAGCGAGGGGTTTGCTGGCTCTAGACCTTACCATTAACAACATGACAGACGTCACCGATGCTTCTGCATCCAAGGAAGAAAGGGCCAGCTGGGACAACCTTGCGGCCTTCCTCGCCCAACTGACAGCCCGCGCCTCCATTGACAGAACTCGTTCCGACCCCCTCGACTTCTCCATGTTCGGCCTCTGGGCGCTGCGCACCGCCTTTGAGGAAGAACACCCAGCTGAGGCAGACACTGAAGCCGCCGTGAGACAGGCTTATCTGTGGATTCAGTACGCCGGAGACACTTTGAAGAAACTCTCTGTAGATGGTTATAAGCTTGAGGAGAGGACAGGTATTGCGGGCACCAAATACGAAGAGACCAAGGATTGGAAGGGTTTCAACCAGGAGAGATGGGACCTTTGGACTGATGAGTTCAAGACAGCACAGACCTCCTCGTCTGATTCCAAGCTGAAGGATGATGCTGCAAAGGCCGTCAACATTATGAAGAGCAAATGAACGAAACCAGGTTAGGCGAGGAGACCATGAGGTGAAAATGACATTCATATAAGACTAATGAGACTAATTTCTGAAAACCAACATCTTATAACATTACAATTATAAACCAGAGACACCCACAAAAGAAATGTCTAGCAGTTGATAACTAGTCTCCAAAAAGGAATCAAGAAAGTAATAATTTACACGAGGTTAACACAGGAAAACAAACGATAGCAGAAACGCATATGCTCAACTTTCTTGCAGCTTCCACAGAGACGCAAAGACACCGCCTCGCTCGAGCAATGTCTTGGGATGATCAAATTCGACAACCTTTCCATCCTGCAAGGCCACAATCTTGTCGAAACCAACAACGGCCTGTAGGCGATGTGCAATGACGACTACGGTCCACCCCTCGAACTCGCTGCGGATGAGATCCTGCACAATTTGCTCCGTTGCCTGGTCCAAGCTGCGAGAAAATATTAGCAAACTGTTCCAAACACCATCAACAACAAAAGTAATTAGTCCATCACATACCTGCTGGTTGCTTCGTCCAGCAACAGCACCCGACTGTTTCTCAAAATCGCCCTCGCCATGCAAAACAGCTGCTTCTGTCCCGCGCTCAGCCAGTCCGTGTTGAGGTCCGCCTCGAGGCCGCCCTTGTCCTCCAACAGAGCTTTCAACCCCGTCTTTTCCAGCGTGTCCCAGATATCCGCGTCGTCGCGGGCGTCGAACGGATCGAGGTTCCTACGCACCGTACCCGGGAGGAAGAGCGGATCCTGCGGAAGCGCAACGAGAGACTTGCGCAACAGACTAATTGGCACCGACGAGATATCCACGCCGTCAACCTCGATTTTCCCAGCCGAGGGATCGTGGAGGCGCAATAGGAGCGCAAGGAGAGTCGACTTGCCGCTGCCTGTCCTGCCGCAGATGGCCACCTTCTCACCCGGCTGGATGTCGAGGGTGATGTCCTTGAGAACTTGGTGGTCGTCGTATGCCGCGGAAACGTTGCTGATATTGATACGCCCCTTTGAAGGCCATTCGCCCTCGGGCAGATCACCGTCGCCGTCTCGCTCGGCAGGCGTATCTGCTTCGAACTCCCTGATTCTTGCCACTGCCCCTAGACTCGTCTCCAGGTTGGCCCAGTAGTTCAGCAGCATTGTCAGAATGCGCCCGAAGCCGGTTATTCCGACGAGCGCGACACCGAGCAGGCCAGGGTCGATGCTGTCGCGCAGAGCGACCGCCAGTGAGACCACCAACACGGCGAGCCCGGCGACGGTCAGGTTGAGCACGAGGAGGAGCCACTTCTGCAGGCTGCCCATGATGTAAAATGCGCGCTGGGATCTGTCGAGTCGCTCGAGGTTCTCGGCTTGTGCCTTTGCGGTCCAGTCCAGCGCGCGAATGGTGATGAGCCCCGAGAAGGAGGCGATGAAGTGGGAGAAGATGGGAGACTTTGCTTCAAGGTCCAGAAGACGGATTTGACGGGATGTTTGGAGGTAGACGCGCTGGATGGAATAGAGGACCACGGCGAGGACCGGGATGGCGAAGACGAGGTAGCCGGTTGCGATGCAGGTTAGGATAAGGTCTGCGGTGGCGAGAGTGAAGTCTGATGACTCGGTCAGTTGTTGCTACGGTCGAGTGAATGGAGGGGTAACTTACAGTCGAAGGCGAGCATGAAGGCGAGAGGGAGAGGGAGGTCGATTAGGTTCATGTCTTGGCTAAATCTGGGAGACTGTTAGATGAAGTGTTGAACGAGTAGAGTGTGAGCCGTATTTACCGGTTAATGATGGATCCCGTGTCTGTCTTGACAAAGAATGATAGCGGTGCCCTGGTATCGCGCATTTAGTTAAAGACTCGTATTTTGGAGCAGAAAACTCACCCCAGCGCCGCTTTGAGGACGCCGAAATGAAGCCCCTTGGCAGAGTGAGGAATAATGACGACGAGGAAGTAGCTTAACGCGCCGTTAGCAATCTCGCAAGACACAGACCGGCGTTAGATTCCTTACTAAATCTCAATGCCAACTGCAACTTCAGTCAAAACACCCCAGAGCACATAGATCCCAACCCACATGCCGAGATTTTGCTCCGTGCCGCTCTCGTTGGCGGCGACCCAGAACTTGACCCAAAGACCTGTAAAACTGTGAGTACCCATATGCCCCGGTTGCGAAGGAATCAGGGGTGGCCTTACGCTCCATCGTCCTGCAGAGTGCTTGAAAGAGGACCATCGTTGCAAACAAAAAGAATGGCGACATGCCCATTGACTTGATGTAGTACAAGAGCGCGCTGGTGTTCGCTGCTCCTCTGGGCTTGCCTTTCTCGACGCCGTTGGGCTTTGCGGTCGCGGCGATTTTGTCTTGCCTCTGCTGTTGATTCTGCGCATTCGTATCCTCGGATTCATCTTCGGTGTCATCTTCGGTGTCATCTTCGGTTTCTCCATTTTGCTGCGAGATCCTAAGTTTGCTGACATAGCCCCCGGTCTTGCTCAACTCTTCGTAGGAGCCTCTTTCAGAGATCTCTCCGTCCCCATCTAGCGAAATAATTTGGTCTGCATCATGTAGCCATTGGGCTGAAAGTGACCAGTCAGTATCTTTCTTATAAACTTCCAAGACCTTCCCATGACATAACATTATTCTTACCGTTGTGAGTTGCAAACAGCACCGATCTCCCCTGACCGCGCAGGAGCCCTTGAGTACCGAATAGAGCGTCGAAACACTTGGAAGCAGTTTTCGAGTCAAGGCCCTTCAAGTTATCATCCATGATCACAACCTGCTTCCCGCTGTACACGGCCCTAGCCAACGCCTACAACTAGTTAACATGGCTGACATCAAATAATGAAGCCACAACTTACGATACGATGTTTCTGTCCGCCGCTGAGGGCACCGCCCGAGCTTCCGACTATCGTCTCGTCTCCCTGTGGAAGTAGACGCAGGTCTTCTTCAAGCTGGCAAGCGCGCACGACCTGGTCATAGAACTCGGGCACGTACTTCGCGCCGCCAGTGATGTTTTCCTTGATGCTCTGGTTGAGGATCCAGGGATCCTGGTCGCAGTACGCCACGTCCGCGGTCGTTGAGTACTCCACCGTTCCCGAGATGCGGTACGTCTCGCCGACGAGGGACTTTAGAAGAGTAGACTTGCCAGAACCGACGGGCCCGACAATGACTGTGAGCTGCGATGGTTGAATCTCTAATTCGAGGTTGTAGAGTATAGCTTTGTCATTATGCCAACTGAAAGATCCATTAGACACTTTAATCAAGGGCTTGTCACTGCTTGGCGACTGCGTCGTCCCGTTCGATTCTTGCTGGTTGGTCGATTTAAATTCTCTGTAGTCAACGCTCTTTTCCTTTACCAAGAACTCTTGAATTCTATCAAGGCAACCAATCGTCGAGCCCAGGTTGTGGGGGATCATGACCAGCTCGGACACGGGGATGATTAGAATGTTGAGCAAACTAAGTGACGTAAAGGCCTGGACGACGTTGAGCGGTTCTCCTTTTGACACGGTCTGTGCGACTGCGAAGGCCGCAAAAGTGACAGCCGGTGAAATGATTGATGGGAACTGGCCTACAGATGGCTGTAAGTTGGGGCTCTCGATCCGGTGCTACTACAAAAAGACGCAACATACCAATTAAGACGTTGAGTATCTGGACTCTTCTAAACTTCTTGGACTCTTCAAGCTCAAAGTCTCTTAGACCCTGCACCTGGTCCTGGATTGTACCGCTCAGCCCGCTCATCTTGACGCCTTTGACGGAGTTGATGACTTCGGTGGTGACGCCGACGCGCTTCTGGATGGCCTGCATCCACCGGCGCTGACGCGGTGGCACCAGCTTCCCGAGTTTCGTGGCTGCAGAGACACTTACTGCGATGACGCTTAGAATTGTTCCCAAGACACTGAAAGGATGAGGTTGACTCACAGGCGGCTACTAAGACAGGCGCGATACAAACGGCGCCGAGTTGACTGCCCAGAATCCACAGGGCGAAGGCGACTTGGATGAGATTTGGAATGATGGCCACGGAAAACTCCACGGCCACCGTGATCCGGTCGACTTCGGTGCTCATGAGCGCAACCGCAGACTGGGAGTTGCCCGTCTCGGCGCGCAGAGAGAGCATGTTCTTATAGATGAGGGCAATTAGAGCGCCTCTTACGCTGGTGACGAAGCGGTAGGATAGCTGGGCGGACCAGAGGTTGAATATCTAGTGACTCGTTAGTAATGTGCGGTAAGAGATGTCTGTCGAGAAGGGCTCTCATACCGCGAGACCAAGGTAAACGGCAGCATACCCGGCAATGAGCGTATACCCGTAGCGCACTGACTTATCGTTGTGGTTTTGGATGTACTCGATAGTAGCCTGCACCAAGAGCGGCTGCGCCAGGCCGGCAGCTACCATTGCCAGGCGAGGTAAATGGATGGAGAGGAGCTGTAGTTTGAACGCCTTCAATACTGCCAGCCCGAGAGCATGCTCTCGGTTCTGGTTGACTAAAGATATGTCAATGAGTACAAACGCCTGAAGAAGAAATCGAAAAGAGTTGACGAACCTTGTTTCCATGCAGCAGAAAGTTTCTCCAACGCAATTCCGCCAGACAATGCTTCGTCGACCGGTTCGAGATCATCCATTGTCAAGTCCTTCCTCCAGCCTAGCCATAGCAGGGGGTTGATCCAGAGTGAGAGGCTTCTGCCAAAGATGCCTGACAATTCCTCCCGGGAGATCTGAGTTGCCGGAATGGTAATGAAAGCCTCTTTAGATGCTGATTCGAAGACCAACAGCACAACTTTTACCGCTAACTGAAGGGTCAAAAGAGAAGCGATAACTCCATCTTGCCTGTAGTAGCTGGTCCAGTGACTCTGAACACCAGGTGCATCTGCGATGAGCGTGACGAGAAGGAATGTCTGCAGCAACGCCGACGGTGCGCGCGATCTGCTGTGTTCCAATTTGGAGATGAAGATAAAGAGAATGCTAGAAGCGATAGCGAGCGCACTTGAGGCGATGCCGATGCTGGCGGCACCTCCGGTTTCTCCTCTAATTATTGACAAAGTCAAGATTGCAGTCTGGAGACCGGCGAGGATATGCCAAAAGATCTTCAAACAACGTCAGCTGACTCTTCGATGTCATCTTCAGGTATTCAACATACGATCTTGACGACTGCCCATATTGTCGCCTGGGTCACAACTGGTCTTTTCCACAGCTGCAATAACCGATGTAAGCCTAAGATGAGAGCGATTGAGTAGAATCCTATCGAGAAGAATATTTCAAAACGACCGTTAGCGGCGGATGTCTCCAAGCATCCCCGATGGGGACCTAGCAGAAGGTTCCCGAGATCGTCTTGGGGGCACACAGCCGCCCCGAATGGGACCTGCAGACGCAGTCCCAGACCCATTGCAAGTGACGCTTTGAAGATTTGCGATTCGAGCGAAAGGACAACGGCCGGCGCGTCCAGCTAAGATGTTTATGAAGCACAATGCAATCGCATACAGTTGCCTCGTGTCGAGGATGACGACGACCGAAGTTCTGGCGCAAGAAGCTTTCGTACGCAGTCTCAATCACGACACTCGCCGCGCTGGCGAAGGATTCGCGACCCTGCATTTCGCGGCACGGCAGCCCCTTTGTGCATCGGGGATAGCCGGCAATACGTTGTGCGACCACGTTTGTAGGTAATCCGCTGTTGCATTTTCCCTTTTGACCTGCCCGAAAAGGTGTGACCGGGGGCTCTGGAACAGGGAGCCTTGCTGACGATACAGCTGGTAATCTCGTATTTTTTGCTGAGGGAGAAAACTCCGTTGTCTTGGTAGTGATGGCGTCAGCAGGCAATAGTCACGGGAACAAAAACTCCAGCGGGCTCATAAATCGAGCTTGGTTTCTTACCCGATACTTTTTCGACTGTTGCAGGTTGGTTCCGATGGGATACCCGAGATGTTCAATAACATTGTCAGTTTAAGGTAATCTTACCGCTTTCAGCTCCCCTACTAACTGTACCGTGATTAGGTAGGGTATTCGCTTCAACACTCCGATTACACAGGGTTTGATTTGTGGGGATTTTAACTTGGAGGGAACTCTATGGAGAAATCAAGAACGCCATTGATAATTTTTATCTTCCATTTCTTACAGCTCACAGTACCGGTCCCTTTCTAGGATCTGTACGTGGCGTGTTACGATGTCAGCATAACGACACCGTATTCAAAATCCAATGCATCGCCAGAGCGCAGTTCGAACTCGGGAAGCAATTCAAAACAAAGTGAATGAAACAGTGTGGACTTGGTTATGAATACGAGGAGTTCTCTGAGCAACCCATTCAGCAAACTTGTTGCAATAATCTATAGAATACTTACGGCATCAATGTCGGTGTTCTCTTTCGCTATCACCAAATTAAAAACTCCTAAAGACATCATGCTATTCACGTAGAAAATCATCATTTATCGATTGGTCAGCCAGCTAAGGTATATCTATGTATCCATGAGCGTGGAAAGTCATGGGACTGAGCAACGTCAACATCTAGTGTAGCATTTACGAGCAGTCCGTCAGCAAGAATCCCGGAAACATAGTACACGACTTATGAATATAACTCCATAACTCAGAAGCGCACCAAACCGATTATCTTCCGAGAAGCCTTCAGCAGCTCATTTGTTTCTGAACAATGTTAGAACTCTTATGCCTTAAATGTACAGCGTTGCCAGTTACAATAGGTCTGAATCGTGTTGTATCCACTTGGTCATCTTTTTTGGCCTGGCCAACGCCAAGTTCTAAACCGTTCCAGAGCCACCACCACCGGCAGAGTTTCTGACACTCGTTGAACCAAATGTTGTATGTTCGACCATCAGATCAACCATCACAAGGCGGATTATGCTTATCAGTTCCTAGATTCACCCCTCAGCATGATAGACAGGCATTCGCGCTATTATCATCATTATCTTTTAATGATATCTATCTTTTTAAAATACATTGCTTCTTGCTCTTATTTTTCATGAATATTCTTACCTTTGTTGCAAGACTGTCTTTAGAAGACCTTGCTCTATGTCACAAACTAGGCAATACGGATCTACAGGGGCTCTCAGGAGTGAATGGAATCTCGTGCGCTTGTCACGTCTACTGGCATGTGATTGACGTTTGCCAAGAGTTCCCACATCAGTAACTCTTCGTAACATTTCATTTGCAACAACATGGCTAGCCTTGTTAGCGGAGGGGCTGAGACCAACATGGTTTATAGACAGACGCTGGAAGGAGGACGGTGTTGAAGGAGTAAAGAGGGCGAGACTGGCACAGACGCATGTCTTGAGGCGAAGTTGGTAAGCCGAAACGTGCCTTCAGCATGCCAAATAGGCGACTATTCGTTTGTTTGAATTAAGAACTCCTTTTCCGGTCATATTTTGGTCATTCTCCTTTGTGTGAAGCCTGTCAACTCGTGTCCAATTCTCAATAAGCTGTAGGTAAGTATCTTGAGAACCCCGCATTTGACAGGTAAATGCAAGGGTAATTCCTTGCAAAGGAGAGCACATATATCGAGGTTTTATCCTGTTGGGCCTCCTTCCACTCTGATATTTCCCAGGCTAAGAAAGCTATTGCAATGACCGCTGCTTGAAGGAACTTCTATTTGAAGCGTGTGGATTGGAGTTTTCCCTAACACTGGTTATGTAACCAACGTTTCCCCACATGCGTTCAGCTGTGGCTTTTAGTGGGGGCTTCGGTTCATTTACAGTCCGTTGCACTGACAGCGTCCAAAAATCGAGTTTTTACCCCCCTAGGGTGGGGTTAATGCAAACCCATGCTAAACTCCGTTTTTTTCGCTGGGAAAATTACAACGGTCGCATTCAGCTGCATTTAGCCACCGTATCGTCAAATCTACTCATTTCAACGCGTCAGTATGGCGCCACGTCTCTCAAAACTCCAGCTGAGGAAAGTTAACCTACTTCTTCCCTCTGTTATTCAAACCGACGAAGAAATCGCAGAGGCGGTTGGCTGTAGCCAACGAACGATTCGACGATGGCGTCGTCGATTCGACATAACTGGCGAGGTAGAACAATACCCTCGAAGGCGTGAAAGCCAGCAGAAGATGGAAATACAGCATCGGAACGAACTTCTCGAATTATTAAAGTATCGTAACGACCTCCTATTCGAAGAGATGCAAGAATTCCTATACGAACAGTTCAACCTCGAAGTCAGCAAATCAACGTTGAGCCGCCACCTCCACGCAGCTGGCTGGACGAGAAAGAAAGCCCACATAATTGCTTCACAACGAAACCCAGAATTACGGTACGATTGGTTATATCGTATACGTCGATACCACCCAGAACAATTAATATTCGTAGACGAATCAGGCGTTGATAAAAACACTGGAAGAAGAAGGACGGGTTGGGCGCCTAAGGGTCTGACGCCAACGCGGTCAGTTCCCCTCGAGCGAGGTCAACGGATACAACTGCTGCCAGCACTCGCAATTGACGGTATCGTAGACTTGCTGGTATATACTGGATCGACGAATGGCGAGGGCTTCTCTGCGTGGATACAGCAACTTCTACTGCCAAAGTGTGGAATATTCCCTGGGCCTAAGTCAGTGATTATAATGGATAATGCTTCTTTTCACCGGCAAGGGGATATACGGCAAGCGTGTGAGGCCGCTGGCGTACGCCTCGAATTCCTCCCGCCGTACTCACCTGACTTTAACCCCATCGAGGAGTATTTTGGCGACCTCAAAAAGCATGTAAAAAAGACATTCCGTACGTGGAATACTAACGAACTAGACGAGCGTGATTTTGCTGAGTTTCTCCGCGACTGCGCGCTTGAGGTTGGGCAACGTCTCCCACAGATAGCTGGGCACTTCCGTAACTCATATATCAACTTCGACGGCACACAGGATATCTTCTGTGACGCTATGACGAGTAGCGATATGTATATTGAGGCAGGAGGAGAGTTGAATCCACCTCTTGTAGTAAATAGTTGTTGAACTTGTAGTAGGAGAAGTAGGAGAAGAAAAACATGAATAATGCCTGTATTTACAACCTCAAGTCAGGCCTATAGTGAAATAAATCGTATCCGTGGCGTATCAAAGTGCTCTGCTACCTACCTAACGGTCTTTGGGTTGATCCTCCCGGGTGTTGCAGGGCAGCTCACATCCACAAGCAAAGCTTTCCGCTAGCAGTAGTCGCTGCTATTTATCCTAGTTTAACCTCCTCTTCCTCTTGGGTATAAGGCGACGATATATAGTCTGAGACTTCGATCGGATTTTGTTCGGTATTAGGAGGAAGGATTGGTGGCGGCGGCGAGGAGACGAAGAGGTCTAATTCTAGTTTCTGGTTAGTTGACGCCGTCACTTCCGTCAATATTACTCACCACCTCGACCAAACTCAATATCGCCAGTTGGCAGCGGTGAGGAGATCCTACCCGCTGGAACGCTTATTTCGCCTACTTTACTAGCGCTTCGTTCGATATTGCCTGTTTCTCCGAATCGCTCGTCAAAAAGTCGGTTATACACTTCGTCTTCAACCTCACGGTCAACTGCTGGCTTTTTCGTTGCCTGTACGAGTGATTGTACAGCGGCGAGAGGTTCGCTCTGTTGGAGGTAAAATTGCTGTGTTGTAGTGAAAAGTTTGATCGATTTTCTCACTGCTGCGGTAAGTTGTGGTGAAAACCCTACCTCCTTGAACCAGCTGTCTGGGTAATCACGAATAACGCGGAGACTGACTATTGAAGCCTTTAACGGAGTAAATTTCACTTCGTCAATACCCAACTTCTTGCCGTTCACAGCTAGAAACCACGAAACGAACTCATCAACTTGGCGTGTTGCTTTTGAGGGCGAATCAGGAACAACTGGCGACGAAGAACGAATCGGAGCCTCTACTTGCCGACGGGCAGAGTAATCACCTGACTGCGGTTGAAATTGAGGCTCAAGATCCCAATATTGGGGCGGCATCGTTGGCGGCGGCAACTTTGGCCAATATTGCGTTGGGCCGCCTGGCGGAGGTAGGCCATAGAAGTTGACTACTGCGCTATTATTATTGGCAGTATTTGCTGGGTCTTGTGTGTCTGAAAGCCCTCTATTAGCAGACTTTTCACCTAGGCTATTTTGGCCTCCTCGATTTGCTGATTTATCGGGCTTTTTCATATCGCGTTGTTCACGCTGAACAAGATCAACAATTAGGCGGGCAGGCGGGTTTGATATTGATACGCCTTCCTCGCCCTTCTGAATAGCTTCTTGCCACTTCTCGAAATCAAATACGGTCAGTTTATAGTGTTTTCTTGCGTTGACCCAGCACCAGTTAACTGTTGGATCAGCTGACGAGGTATTCTGACAGGTTGCTGAATCGTTACACTGATTATGGCGAAGAAGGTCTCGAAATAACTTCCTCTTTCGATCGCCTTCTGTTTCAATCGCTTGAAGCATCGTATTTGTTACAGTCTGACGTTGACTAAGTCGAGACGGTCGCCCTCGTGGTGATCCTACGCCTTCTAGCTCTCCTACTGCGGCTACAGTAGGAGTGACAGAGTAGGCCAGTTCAACATCGAGAAGAACCTCACCAAGGCGACTATTCTCGATAATTTGCTTCGAAATATCATACCATGGAACAACCGGCCAGTTGCCACTGTCAACAGCGAATTCTTCGCGGTATACAATAGTTACTGCTTTTAATCCTATTCTTCTCCAGGCGATTTTCGTGGTAATCCAGCTCTTCTCGATATTATATTGTGCCCTTAAACGGGCGTCGATTCGCTTCGCCAAATCCCTCTCGATTTTCGACCACTGGATAATCAACTTATGACCAACTTCGCTCTCCTCGTCAAATATCCACTTGTATATAGTCTCAGGAAGCTTTGGCGGCGAGCGACCGCCTGAGAAGAGAGGAGTATACGTAACAGTTAAATTGATTGACTGTGGTTGCGTTCGTCGAGGAGTTGGGGTATCAGGTAAAGGCCGTCGACCAGGCCTTGCCGGCGTAACAGCAAAAGGATCCTCATCGAGGTTGAGGTTATATTGAAGTCGCTGGCCCGGCGTTGACTGCCCAATAGCTTGGTGTTCATAGTGGCCTGCCGGTTGGGTTTCCTCGACTTCGTCAACTTCGAGGTTTTGTTGAGTTATTCCTGTCTCTGTTTCTGCTAACTGAGCAACCCTCTGGGCTGGGGAAGGGATCACCACTACCCGACGGCGTCGAGGTGGCTTAACTGGGGTCTTCGCTGGCTCTGACGCCTGCGCCCTCGCCCTCGCCCTCGTACGTACGATAACTACCCTCGACGGCGAGCCGGTTGTTGTATTCGTCTCTAGGGCTTTTGCTGTTTTCAATCGCTTTCGCTTCGCCGGCCCAGTGGTATTATCAATTGAGGGGGCCCGAGCCCGCCGAGGAGGCATCACGAAAAGCTTTTCACGAGATATTGTAATTTACAGAGATTTCACTACGTGGGCCCCACGAAAGTGGCCCAATTGGGCTACAGTGGCCAGTTTACACCAGTTGGGCCAGTTGGGCCAGTTTGACCCCTGTTGTGATAGTTTACTGATTTTCGGGGTTAATAGGCTAAAATCCGATTTTTGGACGCTGCCAGCGAAACGGACTGTATTTGAACCCTGTTGCCAGAGCAGACCGTTCCAGACTGGTGGCCTGATCTCGTTGCGTAGTCCAGCGTTCCCGGCAACGGCAGTTCAAGGTGAGGAACCGGCCCGACTCTCATTCGACAACCCGGAACACCGCCGGAAACGTAGAAATCAAATCATGCGCTCTACGAGATACCCAGCCTCCCGCCCAGAAAGCCTGCTCTAGATGCGCAAGTCCCCAAGGTCAAAAGCAACCTCAAAGTGAATAGGTTCGAACGGTGCGAGCAGCGGAATCTCTCGTGTTCTTACGCTCAAGTTTAGCGGCCAACTCAGCCGGAGAAGACGCACGTCCGATGCGGAAGCCCGCGGACATGCAGCCTGTAAAAGCCGATACAGGCGCCGCGGACCCTGCTTCACTATGAGGAGCACAGTGGTCTGACGGAGTCTGTCCGTTGTTCACCCGCCGCATTGTGGTCCTACCACACTGTAACAACTCAACAGCCCACAAGGCTGTTTCACCAATTATTAACCCACAGCTTCCGATGTCCACAACGACTGACATGGCATTGACTTAAATATATGTATAATAAAGAATGATATACTCAAGCAGAATGATGAGGTGCTCGCCTGAAGTGAGAAGCACCGAATACCACCAAAATGACTCGAAGAACCCTTTCCATTGATAACATACATGCTAAATGGCGCTTCATTAAAGCATGACAGGCTTCCGAATCACACTGCTACCAAAGTTCGTAGGTTTCTCGCACCCAACAGCAAGTTTTATCAGAAGCACTCTGATGTCGCGACAAGGAAGTGAAGTACAACGTTCACCTTTTGTCCTACGGACCTACGGAGGTTCTTCGTATTGCTGAGCTTAGCCTATTCCAGAAGATTTCGGTGGTGAAGATATCGCCAAACAACATGAATGCGTCGCTCTTTTGCTGGAGGACTGGGTGACTTCGGCATGAAGATATGACATGCGCACATGAAAGTCACTCTGCAAAAGCGCCGCTCTTAAACACCATTTCGCTCTTAACGCCGAGTACCGTCATCTCCTTGGTGGCCTCTCCCTTCAAAGGTTACAGGAATGAGAAGAGCGGGGCCAGTAGCAGGGTAAAGTCGACATCTTCAGTAGTTACTGTTTCTTGTTAAGGGATTGTAACCATCTGAACTGGTGTACTAGGCCCAAAAAGATCAAGTTCGTCTCCATAAAAAGGAGCGGAGGGACAAAGTGGCTGTGGCAGACTGATAAATATACGTCATTGACGCGAACCTCTCGTAATCGCGAACCAAGAAAGGCTCTTTTGGACGGCAAGTTTCCCGTAGGGCCTCCTCTTAATTTGTCTTCAAGCCGTTGGATCCGATTTTTGCTGACGCCTCTTGGCTGTCGCAGATATCGACGAGCTAAGAAAAGACAGCCTTAAAATCCTGAGGATACCCTTGTCTGGCCTTGAGTCAGGGTTCAGATGTACGGCTAACGACACTAATGACAGGGTGCTCATGCAAGGCGCGACCACTGTTTCAATTGGACAATAAAGTTCCCCCCATCTGATTACGAAGACTTTAGCATACCGTCATGGTTTAGAGTTTGAACGACGTTAGATTATTCTACCACCGGTGAATATCTCGGCCGCAATCCGTCATAACTACACCCCCTATGCACCTCATATTTGTAAGGGAGAAATCCCAACATCGGCCTGACTTTGATGGCAGATGGCCCACAGGGAGGGGATTTAACTCGAAGCCAAAGTAAATGAGGGGCTTAGACGAAATCCGACATATACTTACACGTTGACAGATATGCACCAAAAATACACCTCTCATGAACCACACAGCATTAGTGCGAGGGAACGAGTCAATCTCCTGACCAAAGCACTGCGGGATATGACCCACAAGAAGGATTCAAGTCGTAACATGACTGGTTGGAATGTACCCTGAGGATTGGGCGTTCCTCGGCTTACACTTGACAGTGGCCGTGGCATGGCTACTACTACCTTGGCAAGGGGCTTTGCTATTGCTCACAGCCGCAGTCGAATACTATATGATTGCAGATCTTAGCAGAAAGATGGAGTTTAGGTGCTGCAGTATGCTTTATACTTGAGAGAATTTTAAAAAAGAGATGTCTTTTGATCGTCGGTTTGTCCGTCGATGGCCGAGATAGCGGCTCTCTGTATACCTTATAAGATAAAAATGCTTACGTCTCTGTGAAGATTGATGAGCCTTCACACTCGTCCATCACTTACATTCATTCTTTAACCACAGTCATTCTTTTCTCACTATGCACATTGACAGCTTACTTTGCTGGCTCGCTGCGCTCTCCCTGACCAGCGGAGCCTTGTCCCACCCACACCACCATGGCCGAAATGATGACCTACATGACAGACGCCATCTACTTGCCAGACAGCAACCTCTGTCAAACACTACAAGACCAGCTTCGTCCACACAGCCTCCTATCACGCCGGATCCTAGGTCATCTACGCGCATATCCTCTGTCACGACGATTGGGACATCTAGCTCTGCACCGAAAACTTCGACCATCTCCGATGGCGAGGTTGTCGTGGCCGTGATCGGCGCGACGTACCTGGCCGGTGCCGGGGGCGCTACTCTGATGGTCAACGGAGTGGCTCACCCCTTAGCTGCAGGTACTGTTGTAGCCATCACGGCGGGAGGTCCCAACGGTGATACCCCCGAAATCGAAACTGTCTCAAACCCGAGACCAACGCAAAACCCGAAGACTTCAGACCCAGCGGAGAGTGAATCCCGGCCTGCCTCATCGTCGGCCCCGTTTACTCCGACTTCCACAGCTCCAGCTAGCACCACTTCCGCAGCCTCCACCTCATCCGGCACGCCTTCATCCACGGCTTCCCCTACCCCATACATCATCCTCATTTCTACAAATGCTACAAAGGAAGACACGCAAAGTCTCAACAGCACGCTTTCAAAGGAGGCTGCGCCCAACTCGTTGAAAGAAGTCACTAGTGACCGTACCGGTCTTGTGGCATTCTTCAAGGCTAACATTACTTCTGTTCTGGCTGCAACTATTGAGAAAGAGCCTGGTGTAAGTCAACAACACGTTTTCATTCTACGAAAGATGCTGAGCCGAAGATTTCATAGGTCGCCGGTGTTACCCCAGATGAAAAGCTTGAAGACGAACAACCGCCCTCGTCGGCGCCACCTACATCGGCGACACACCGGGCGTCAGCGACCGGCCCGCCTGGCTCACCGAAGACCAGCGTTCCCAACCCGGCTGACATCAGACTGCAGTCCGATGCAGTAGACGAGCTCAAGGTCATCTCACAACCCGCCGGAGCCAGTCTTGCTGACCTGCCCGGCTACGGGTACGCCTCTGAAGCGGGCAAAGGTGTTACGATTTACGTGATCGACACAGGCGCAAACGCAGAGAACACGGTATGGGTACCTCGAATTTGAGATGAAGATCACTTTTTGATGATGATTAAACAGGAATGGACAAACATGCCTGGAAAGAAATCTTTCATGTACGCCCCTGGTGCCACACAGGATGAGACAGACTTCTTGAACCATGGCTCGTGTGTTGCGTCCAAGGCAGGTGGGCCAGTATATGGTACCGCGAAGGATGCCGACATGGTCGCTGTTAAGCTACCTGGCAGTCTCTCCCTGTCTGCCATTTTTACCGCGTTGGTGGAAATCAGCAATGACGTGTACCAGAAGAAGCTTGAAGGAAAAGCGGTTATCAACATGTCGCTTGGATCTCGTAAGTATTGGCCTAGTCATTTAATAATTCTGACCAACCAACCCTGTTTGCCGCCCATGATCTCTCTCCTCTGACTGACGGTTTTAGGCATTCCGGATAAGCTGTCTTCTACGACTACCGCCTACAAGCTTCTTCTTGTCGCTCTCATGGCGGAAGACATCGTTATCGTTACGGCTTCGGGCAACGACTTTGTAAGAAGCTCCCGTTTACTTCTGTGTTCTCGGTTTCGTAGCTAACATCCTTGTACAGCAATATGGCGTTGACGATGTTACGGAATATCCTGCTCTTTTCGGCCCTACCACGGACATCATCGTCGTGGGCGCAGTTGAAAACGACGGATATCGCGCATTCTTCTCCCAGGGCTCAGGAAGCCAGTTGACTGTCTCCGCCCCTGGCTTCGTTGATTGCGCCTCGGGCAGAACGGCCGGATCGCAGGATCTCTATGGCACCTCTTTCGGTACGTATACTGAAGAAATCTTTGACCTAGTAGGATCACAAACAGGCTAACCTTGAGAAACCTTAGCCGCCCCAACTGTCGCCGGTGTCATCGCAGTGTGGCTTTCCCAAGACGAACACAAGGCTCGCCTTCAAGTTCCAGGAAAAGTGGCTGCCAATGTCAAATCTATGATCCAGTCCCTTGCGTACCCGAGAGTTGAGGGTGAGCCAAGTGTGATATGGAACGGCATTGATCCTCGTGGGCTCGCTTGCTCGGTCAGCGGAAGCAGAAGACGACAAGCCAACCCCTCCGGCGGGAGCTCAGGCTGCCAAGCAACCTCTGCGGCGCCCTCAAGTATTGCCACCTCGACGCCGCCAGCGTCGACTCGCGTTGCGCAGACATCCGCAGCACCCTCCTCTGCCCCCTCAGCGCAGCCATCCGCACCTCCTAAGCCTTCGTGGAGCGACAACCCCCAGGGATTCGCGAAAGTCCTTGAGCGAGACGGAGTGGCCAGTGCTTTCTATGACAACACCTCAGACAGCGCAAGTGAAGGAATCACAGACAACATCGAAAGTTGGTGTCTTTCCAAGTGTACTGGTATGTTCTCAAAGTACCTGTGTGTCACCGATATCAGACTTTTGCTAACCGTACATCTAAGGTCAATGCGCCTCGGTATTCCTGTACAGGAAACTCCAAATCGTCCGCGGCGAGTACAAGCCGTATTACATTTGCAACCAGTATGACGATGCCCTTGTATATGTGAGAAACTTTCACAGTAGATGCCTAACCTTGTTTCTCCTTTAGATATAATAAGCAATGGTCAAACGACTTTATTCAAGACGGCATAACTTCAAACGACGCGGGAGTAGCGTTCAAGTAGGTCACATCATGGTGATGGAAGCAATGACAGGCTAACTCTTTTGTAGTAAAGTATAGTTTTTAAGAACACGGACACTTTCGTACGCACCTCTGAATCGAATCCCGCTTGTTGTAGACTATGAAAGGTTGTGCTCGTGGGTGATTGGAGCAGCGACTTTCTACAGAGACTTGGCTACCTCTGGAAAATGTGAATTTCGACTCCGAATTTCTCGTTACTGTCGCCTTCTTCAAGCATGAACATAGAAATGTATATCTACGTAGATGCTTATGGAATACAACTTCAGCTGAGAATAACTGTTTGTTCATAAGATAGTTTATAGATCTCCAAGATGTAACATACAATCAACCCCAAGTAATCAAGGGAAATTTCCATAAAACACACCAAAATCAGAGTCGTTTCCACACAGAATCTTTGACGAAGAGCAGAAAGTAACACCATCTCATTTTTTCGACAGCGCCAACATGTCTGCTGTGAATTTCAGCCACATAATGTTCGTGTGCCAACTCAGCACAGTCTCAAGCTTTGCTCCAAACATATGATATCCAGACCTTCGAACCTGCGCGCTCCCATACACTAGACATTATTCGTTGATCATACACCACCAGTCACATTGTCAAAGAGCAAACGGTTTTATCAGAAAATTAAATCGACTCTGAACTTCGTGTACTGCGACTAGAAGCACCCCACCGGATGACGGAAACCCAACGCCCAGAACCGCATCCGTGTCATAGTTGGGGCGTCGTTGCCTGTCTAGGAGTGAACAATGTCTGGCTTCGTTCCGACTGTGAGGTACAAAAACATAACCAACATACTCACGGGGCGTTCCATAATAGTCAATCGCCAACCATATGCAAGGCAGAGCTTGAGGTCTCGATGGTGCAATGACCAACCGCCATACCTACGGAATCCGCTCATGAGCCTACATTTGGGGGCGTAGATGGGCATTCTCAGAGCGACGGACATACCACACCTGTCCAGGTCGGTTGTCAACAGTTGATGTAAGTCGGCCTCAGCCAGTATTGGCGATCACAGAGGACATATACATGGGCTTCGCCAGAACCGTCCGTCTGTGGTGTTTACAGATCAAACCTTCGTCTCATATAAAAGTCCATATGCCATTGACTGCGGCCTGGCAACAGGTACAAACTACAAACCAGTCCAATTTAAGGGCCACATTTCTCAAAATAATAATAGCACAATTCAAGTAGAAGTGGCAGTATCTGTGTCTGGCTGGCTAATACCTCGCAGCCTTTGTACCTGTTGCCAAGCCGCAGTTGATGGGATGCAAACACCGATGCGATAAGTAGGACTATACAGAAAATCATAGATCATGCATCAGTTTCACATTCCGTTCTGATGAGAGAATCGACTTTTTCACATTGACTAGATTTTCACTCCATTCTGCTCCGGCATCCATTTTCAGAATCCATACCAAGCTCTAGAGTCTCGACCTAGCCAAGCCCCACCAAGGTGCGCTTCTTACGGCAACATACCTCCGTCCACAAGCATGGCTTGTCCAGTGATGTACGACGCAGCGTCACTGAGTAAGAACATAATGGTGGCCGAAACCTCCTCTGGCTGTCCCATACGTCCTAGCAGAGGGGGGGGAAGAACGGCTCCGGTCGCCGCGAACTCCATAGACTTCGCCAGAAGCGGGGTATCAATCGGTCCTCTGTAATCCAGATCAGCTAAACTCTCAAAATCATCAGAAGGGGCAGCGGAAGAAGCCGACTCACGGGCACACGGCGTTGATCCTAACCCCCTTTCTTCCAAACTCCCTTGCCGCACCCTTGCTCAATCCAATAACAGCATGTTTGCTTGCGGTGTAAGCCCCATGAAACTCTAGCCCGTAGAGTCCAGAAACAGAGGCCACATTGACAATGGACGTTCCCTTTCCTCCGTCCTTCAGAGCTGGAATTTGCGCCCTCATGGCGTTAAGGATGCCCTTGGCGTTTACCCCCATCACAAAGTCCCACTCGTCGTCCTCGATCTCCGGCACAGTCGCTCTGTTACCCTGCCGGCCCAGCACACCGGCACAGTTTGCCGCAGCATCGAGCGGTCCAAGTTTCTCTACCGTCTCGGCGATCCATGCCTCAACTGCCTTCCGATCCCGCACATCCACCACCTTGGAGTAAACATTTTCCGCGCCGTAGAGGTCCGTGAGCTCGGTTGCCGTAGATGAAAGGAGAGATTCGTCGACGTCGCTGATCGACACCCGCGCGCCTTCGGATGCGAGGTTCTTCGCCGTCGCAAGGCCAATGCCGGATGCTGCGCCCGTGATGGCGATGACTTTGCCTTTAAAGGTGCTCATTGTTATTGTGTATGGATGGTATTTGACAGAGTGACGATAGATTGATGTGACTTTTGCTTGTTAAGTACCTTAGTGCGAGAAAAAAAGCCTCATGGAGACGATGGATTCTCCATCTTTTGGGAGACGCAATACCCCCTCATAGCCCTCCACCTCTTGAAACACCACAGCCTACTACAGCTTACTACATGTGTACTTACTATGTCCTTCCGAGGCTTTAGTGCGTCTTGTGTTCGGAGACTCGCATCCATTTTGGGCTGGAATGACAGGGGCCCAAGACACGATCGATTGGAGGTGGGGATGGACCCCAGATATCGATTGCCAGGATGTCAAAAAGCCCGCTACTCTATTCTTCCTTCACTGCTCCATTAAAGAAACCAAAATACAACTGGTGCATCAAATATGTCCCGTGACGAAATCTAACATTTGAAATTATGGTCTCTGAACATAGAAAAAGCAAAAGAAATGCGCCGAGGGGGAATCGAACCCCCGGCTCCCCGACGCTGCTGGATGGCAACGGAGAATTTTACCACTAAACCATCGGCGCTACAGTGGAAGCTGGGATTTCAAGAGCCACCAGGCTTCAAATTGGTGAGTGACAAGCTCGTGGAAACCTCTGAGGGCAAGGGTTTGCTTAGGACAAGGAAAGACAAAGCATCTCCAGTGCTTTGCCTAGAAAGGGCCTGGAGGAGCGAAGCGTAACCAGGACCGATCACAGCCGCTGTAGAGTTAGTAAAGGAGCTACCGCCGTCGTTAGGTTCTCCTACCCCTTAAAGTTTTAGGGGAAGAAAAGGTTAAAGCTTAACACCGTTTTTAACTATCGAAACAGTTACTTTTTTTTCTATACAATAGAGGCATTACAATAGCGTAAACGGTAATTATATCACTAAACTAGTCTCGGCTACAGAGGCCCCCAACGTTACTATAAAGCCTTTGTTAATGGAAGGCATAGGGAGAGTAGGTAAACACTGTTATATAAAGCTTACTGACCCTTATACTAGCAATAATACTTCCTAACTGTCTATATAGACCCTACCTTCTACCTTCTCTTGTTACTTTTGATATGAGCTAGATCACGCTGTTTTTGGCCTCTGTGATGGAAAAGTGGCATGCTCGCCTTTCTGACTATATCGAACCACAAGGACTATGTCAATGTACCTCTAAGTCTAGGCTCTACCAAAACAACAGAATTATTCTACAGAACCTTATACATGCCACCGTCGGCCCCAATTGTACTACCGTTGATCCAATGTGATCGCCTACTCACTAGCAAGCCAACAACATCGGCAATATCATTAGGCCAACCAATGCTCTTGTGAGTTGACGGTTTATTCACGTTAGTCAGAGTTTGAGTTCTGAACTGGGGGGCACCCCTTTCGAGGAAGCTTTCGGAAGCAGTTGGTCCGACAAGGAGTGAATTCGATGTGGTGCCCTGTGTCCTCTCATCTGTACTCAAGATGTCGGCCCAAGAGCGGGTAAGCGATTCCATGGCGGATTTGACAGCAGCATAGATTATCATTCCCCTACAAGAAGTTAGTCCTATCCTTGACATTTTGCCATGTGTATTGTGCGAGTAAAGCTCAATCAAACGTGACTCCATTAGGCTACTTACGGAGTTGGCAGGGAACACCTAGACACGGCGCCTGAGATGTTGATTATTCTCGAGAAGGGCTGGATGCACTCTCTTGTGAAGAGAGCCTCTATCAACAAGACCAAGCTTTGAACGTTGCCAAGCAGCATATCATGGATGTAACTTGCATCAAGCTCACCCATCGGCCGCATTTCGCTATATGCTGCGTTGTTGATTATGATATGCACCTTGTTGTTGAATGTGTCATGGATTTCTTCCGCAATGGTATCGGCGAAATCCGGAGACAGCAGGTTAGCCGCTACTCCTACGACCCGAGGGCGTAGATAACCCGAGTCTTCGTAAAGCTCGCCCACCTCCGTGGCAAGAGACTCGATGAGATGAAGAGAATTAGGTGAGGAGGACGTGGCCAAGATAGATGCCCCACGACTAGCGAGATGGAGGGCAATAGCACGACCGATTCCACGGGTGGCTCCGCTATAAGTCAGGTCAGCAATGGATGGTGGCCAAAATAGGTCCAAGCTTGTTCGATAGTATGGGTTTTTACATGTCAGAGAAGTTCGTGATCGTTCTACTTACGTGACTAGAGCAACCTTTCCGGAAAGATCTTGCTCTAACAACCTGGGAGGGGACGAGGAAGTATGGCGTTGATCTGGTAGATCCATGTTGGTTTGGGGATTCGATTTGATTAGCATAAGTGCTAGAGAGCTGGCTGCGTGAAACTGAAGTCAGGAGCTGGGAGTACGAGACGTTTGGTTCTATTTAAGCGCATGTGAAGACAATCATGCATCCATGAAGCTACCAGCCTCCGTGAGCATCACCGGCATCCCGGCCGGAAGAAGCGGACTGACTTTAATCGTAACTCGGTCCTGTCCCATATCGGAGTGAAATGATCGGATGGCGAGGTAACTTCGGGCTCCGCAACCCTACAGGTTCGGGTGCAACTGAATTTCGATTGATAGTCCGTCGGCTTCGGATGATAACGACGCAGGACGTATTATGGCCTCACATTATTACAAACCAGTGTAAACGTCTGTAGATTAACACTCCGGAGAAACTTAAAGCACCGATCGGGGGGCTAAGTAAGGAATCTTCTCGCGCTTCGGGGTAAAAGCGGAGAAGCGAACTCCGCGGCCTCGATCAGCGCCAAGCCGCGTCGAATACAGTCCAAATATCAACCTTCGTTCGCGATAATTCGAAAAATACTAACAATATATATAATTGCAAAACCCAAGGGAATATTTAGTACAATGGTCATCGTCAGACTATCATTAGGTCACATAATTCTTTTACAATCAACTTGTTCAAAACCAGTCACTTTGAAACAGCAGGATGCTCGTTCTTATATATGGTATCACTGGCATGGTCGGGCAGCCCACTGCCCGTGCCGCTTTAGCTGCTGGCCACCAGGTGCGCGGACTCGGTCGAAACCCACAAAAGCTACAGAGTGATCTTGCAGACTCTCTGGAAAGTTTTGTAGTGATCAAAGATGCCTATGATATTCAAGCTTTAGACCAAGCAGTAAAAGGTGTTGACGCTATCGTCTCTGCTCCTTCAGGCGCCTTCGAAACAGCGCTTGACGGACAGATACTTCTATTGAGAGCAGCCGAACGCGCCGGTGTCAAGGTAGTAACGTGCCTCCCTGGATCAATTTTGTTTCAAGCTAATAGGGACGGGCAACAAAAGGTTTTTCATGCAGCATCGTGGAATTATGACTGGACAAGACTACCGCTGGGATTCCATGAAGGTTACGATCCTTTGATCTCTTTCTGGAACCACGCGCGTCTTAGTTCCAACATCAAACCGATTTACACATTCACCGGCACCATTCCCGATTATGTGATGTATTCATCAGTTCTCAACAATCCAATCGACAGCAAACTTAAGACGTTTTCGTATTTCGGGACCGGCGACGAGGTTGACATTTATACTACAGTGGACGATCTTGCCTCATACACCATCGCTGCAATCTCAGAGCCGAATGCTGAAGACGGCGGAGTGCGCTACGTTGAGAGTTTTCGTGCGTCGATGCATGAGCTAGCCGATGCCTACGAAAAGGTACATGGCGTGGAACTGGAACGAAAGAATCTAGGTACTGTGGAGGATGTTGAAAGGCTGCTTCAAGAGGGTCGTGACAATATCCATCCATCAAACTACAATGATTACTCGGCTTTCATCTACCTGAAGATTCAACTGCGAGGTTTGTGTCTTCACGACAGCAAGGATAGCAGGAGGTGGAGCCAGATCAAGCCGATCAGCCTGGAGGATTGGCTTAAGGCACACCAAAATATTTAGATAGCAATACGACAAGCTTGGCATGCTCACTTGGTATTGTCTGAAAATTCAAAGGAGCTCTTAACACGTGTAAGTTGATTGGGGTGACAGACGAAAACTAGCAAGTTTTTAACCAACGACATGATACATATGTAGAGTATCGAGCTCATTGCATGTATTGTAAGGTTATTTGGTCCTACTGCCACCTGTGCCGCTGCTTCTTTGTATATGAGTACTATTTGATCCTATGTAGGCAATGTTCACATCGAAGACTTCATTCATGTGTATCACTGCTGGTTCGGCGAAGCAGAGAAGATAAAAGGTCGCTTATTTCACTCGCAAGGTTTGCCACGAAGCCAGGAGAAAAACTGATCACAGGGCAGAGGCCTTTGTTGGTGGCACCATGTCGAGAGTGGGGGGGGGTGCAACGGGGGTACCCCTTCCCATTCAAGCCGAAAGCACCGCACTGCGTCCGCCAAGAAACCTCCGGACAGCGACATAACCGCGAGTTAAGACCTATAGCGAATGTTACGACCCTGAATCCATATTCGCCCTATACACATACACCGCCAGAAGTGCCTTAGCGCCGCTGATGCTTTTGGTTTATTCCCGATCCAAGATTCAATACTGTAAGACATTAAAATTGTTCCAGAGTATTATAAAGGCGAATAGTAATACATCATTTCAACGAAATTCCTTCAAGCTACATTGAAGATACTCAAGCGCTCGCTTTAGCTCGGCACTAGAAAGGCATACATCTTACTCTTATGGGGGTTTGCTAAAGAAATTTATGCATCCTCAGCCCCATTCATTGTCCACTACGAAGCACACAATTCTTTTTATTTTATCCATGGCAACTAGTATATGTTTATTAGCGCATAGCCCAGAAACTAAGGGTTGGGCATCAGTATGGCCACCAGTTTGTGACCCAGCATTTGCATCTCCACTGCGGGTGTGGAATCTCAAAGCCATGCCCTTACCCAACCCCTCCCTCCAGCGTGGAAGAAAGCTTGAAACTTCAGAGTCCAGGCGTCACTGGCCTTGCTCACGAGGCTGGCCAATGGCTAAAAGTCAATGGAGTGACAGTCTTGCCAATATATGGTGTCTTGGTGACCGTGGTGTCTATCTCATTGCTTGACTCTTCGGCTTCCCCTGCTTCGATAATGCCGATTTGGCCAAGAACCACTTCCCCCCTTTTATTCTACTCATATGCGCAAGATTTGCAATGACGTTGTGTCAAACTCACAAAGCGCAACAGGACAATCCTCGACCAATGTAGCCCTCTTAGTCATTTCTTTTCAGCTTTGGTGCCAAAATCAAAACCGAAACCGAAAGTCTATCCTTGACTTCCCATGTCTTAGCGTCGGCTGTGGGGAAAATTGAAACCATGCCACGTGAAGCTAGGCGAGCTTCCACCACCTCGATGCCACCGAACATCCCTGGCAGATGTGTATTAGCGCACAGGCATTTCATACTGAGTATTACCTGCCTCTGACCTTCTTAGAAATACCTGCATGTTCTCGATTGGTCTGCCTTCACACCGTTTCCGCAATAAAGGTGTGTCCCACTTGCTTATCTTTTCAGCATCGTCGGTAAATCCAGATGCCGTCATCTGTCATCGCCCAAGCAATTTGAAACTGTCCGACAAGAAAATCTGATTCCCTATACCCTAAAGTTATGTCGCATTCTTGTGAACGTTGCAGGGTTCGAAAGGTTAGTCCGACACCGTCATCACAACCCATTTGTGTTGCGAATATCTCATATAGAGTTTCTTGCTGTATCGAATACTGATGGCAACATCGCAATAGGTCAAGTGCGATCATAGGAGACCTACTTGTTCGGGATGTGAGAAATCCGGTGACCAATGTATTTGGCCAGAGCGGAAAAAGGCTGTCCGAAGAAAGAAAGAGTATGTGTTCCAATGGTTTTTCATGTTCACATGGTCGCGTGGATTAGGTATCAAGGCTTGGCTGACATATTCAGATTATACGATGACATCGTTCAGAGAATCGAGCAGATGGAGCGATTGGTAGAAAAGCTACAAGCACCTCGGAGATCTGTTCAAGCAAGGGAGGAAGCCAATAAACACGCCTCAGTATGCTCAGACTCGGCGTGTTCATCATCTGCCGCTGAACCAGCCCAGCCCTCCTCCACTGAGGTAGTACCATGTCCGCTTCCACTAGCCTCGGGCTCGCCCAGTTCAGTAAACTCATATTATCCGGGAGCATCCGAGGGTGCCGTTGGTGCTGCGGGTCAGCACATAATTCTTTTTTCGACTTCTGCTTCAATTCGTATCCTACTAATACCACGTGCAGGATCATCCTCGTTGTTCTCAGCGGAAGGAATCGCCAAAATTGATGCTCTGATAGGCGACACACGTTACTCAGAAGCAGTGCGTATTCTTTTAGACCAGGTTGCAAGTGTCGCGCCTACTAAAAGCCTCGGGTGTACCTCTGCAAAGAGTTACCCATTTCCTCCGAACGATATTATCATATCTTGCATCAACCGTAAAGAGCTGTCCGCCTTGTCATCAATCTGAGAATATCTAACGTTGTTAAGCAGAATTTTTTAGAGTGTTTAATTTCGGAATCAGATTGTTCGAAGAGGCCAAAGTACGAGCAGCAGTTCAGGCATATATGCTTGGACAGCCTTGCGACGAGGCGGGATGGCAGATGGCATTGAATGTCATTCTTGCACATGAACTTCGTCAACGAGAGTGGAACACGGACAATCAACAGCACACATACTATCTAAACAATGCCCTCGCTATGGTACCTAACATTATTCTGCAGCCACCCAATCCTATGGCGATAGGTTCGCTTCTCTCGCTGGTATGGGATTACTCCTAGAGGCCGTATTATTCCCCATTAACCGAACCAACCCAGGTTTACTATTTTATGTTTACGGCTAAGAACCATGTCGCTATATCCCTCCTTGCCCTGGCAACCCAACTTATTCTCTTGGCTGGTTATCATAATCTCAGTTGCCCGACAGATGGACAGGGGGAGCTCGCAGACGTGCTTCATCGTCGTCGTATATTCTGGCACGCCTACGTGCTAGATCATGATCTTATGTTGCGCATCGGAAAGCCGCCTCTCATCAATGATGTTTTCCTTCAAGAGCTTCCGGACGAATTGCCAGCGGACGGATACGCGGTATACTACTATCCTGGAAACGTCAAACTGAGCTATTTCCACCAGCAGGTGCGCCTATCTCACATACGGGGACGCATCTATGACAAGCTGTACCTTCAAAGCAGGGAGAAAATGACCGGTGTCACTCTTGAGAACACAATGGCACAACTGGACGCAGAACTATACTGTTGGTGGCAGGATATCCCAGAAATGACACGCCCAAATCCGGACGAGAATCTGTCAGATGTCGATGAAGCTAGATTCATGAGTCTGAGTGTGTTAAACTTTATGTACTTCCAGTCAATTGTTGCCGTTCACTCGGCAGCTTTCAGGCTGCCGCTTCTTGGAAACGACAAGGACGTGAGTCCTAGTATTGCCTTGTGCGTCAATGCAGCACGGGCCGGGATTTCTTTACTGAGATATCAACGCCCACGACACCCCTTCACCATGTAAGTACCTGACTCTGAGGGTTCGGTCAGACTTGCTAAAGAGACCAGTTATTTTCTGTATCAGGTCGCCTGGACCGTTGACATTCTCTTCGTCAACATCATTGAGAATAGGACTTCAGTAACAGCGATCGACGACCTCGAGCTTATCGAGATGGTTGTCAGGTTTTTCGAGAGTCATGATCCAAGTCACAAGAATGTGGCTTCTTACCACATCATCTTGACTTTGTATGAGGTGGCGTCATCCGTGGTTCTGCAGACCACGTCGAAACCACTCGGTCAACGTCTTCCTACTACTGCAACAACGGTTTCAAGTTCACTATACACTAATACGGTAGACAATGGCAACTTAGCAATGGAGTCTGTACTGCCTCCTTCCCTACTTCCTCCAGAAGACCCTACACAGGGAAGGGGGAACATCTCCATTGCTCCCCACGACTGGTTCTCTACGGGCTTCTTGCAGATGACCGACTGGGAATTCCCGGCCAGTCTCTAGACTAGGCTCATTGCTATCACATAACAATAGAAAAACTTGTAACAAGTAACGTATAGATAGGCAGCTACTAAATAATAGAGAAGAGACATTTAAGAATTTGTAAGCTGTTATACACAGAATGGTAGACCTCAGAGACGTGAACAATAGTAATAGGTTAGTTAAATAAAAAGGACAAGGTTAATAAGAATTATAACTAGTGCATTTTGGCTTCTTGAATATAAATCTAATTAGATGAAACCCTCATAAAAGTTCCTAGTCCGTTGGCGTCGATTAGTAAAAAGACTTTTTATTCTCAGGTAGCAGAAGACGAACCTTTCTTATCGAAATGCACAACTCTGCTGGGTGTATGATAGTATTGAAGGGAATTGAAGAGCGGGCAGAAAGAGGAGGGTAAAAGTGCTTAACACAAAGTCAGGTGTTATATATACTTCAACTTCCGACTCAGCTGCCTAGTAAATGGCACTGAGAACTCTCAGATGTGAATAAATTCATAGGCTTATTTGACACTGAGTAACTTGGATCTTGCATGTTTATTTCGTCTGTTCACATTTGTTCTGTGTCGAATTTTTGTGGTAGCCGTGGCTTCACAGCAATGTTTTTAACATCTCCTTTTCATAAATATAATATTCATACCATAAGCTAAGTCTTACGACCTAATCAAGAGCGATAGAGTTGCTCCTATATCTGAAACGAGTCCTGACCTACTCAATATACTCTGGCAAATGTCCGATTGTAGCATTCGTCCATTCTCCCCGTGCGGCCATCAACCGATTCGGAGGAATATTGCCCCCGAACCCGCCACAACGATCAGTCCTGATACATACGTTCCGCGTGCAGCAGGTGCTGACAGCGCATACTGAACCAAGCGGGCAGTCAGCGCTGGTTCCGCAGCCGGCTAGTCCGTTACACGGCGTCGTGCCGTCGACACAGAAGCCTAGGCCGCCTGTGACGGAGGCGCATACACAGTCGCCGCCAGGACCACACTGCGAAAAGGTACTGCACGTCCTGCCAGTGCAGCTATTGAAGGAACAGGCACCGTTTGTGCAGGACCCGGTAGGACACTTTCAGTTTCTGGTCAGCGAGGAATCTTCCATGGGGGGTTGGAAAGGGTGTATTCAGTGGAATTGGGTGCGTCATAGTTATAAAACAAGCATGGTATCCGAGTGAAATCATGAAGTTTAATAAAAAGGGACATGAAGGAAGATATTGAATGCGTCTGGAGACTCACATTGAAGTTGCAGCTTCCACAATGCTGCGGGTCTGTCTTCGTATCGACGCACTTGTCCTGGCATGTGGTGAGCTTCGAGTCATTGCAGACGCAGTCACAATATTGGTTGATGGTATCAGTGAAAACTCCGGCGCCGTAATTACTGGAGACAGCTGAGTGATAAATCCCGGCACGGCTGATGCACTTTGAGCGATCCTTCCCAGCGGGATACCGAGCGTTACAGATGTCTACCATGCGGTAATAGAAGTCCGTGTTGCAACCTGCAAAGGTACTCGAGCAATCGGCTAGAAAAATACGGTCAGCAATCTGGAAGCATGAATCGAATACCTGACAAGTATACTCACACCAGCAGACGTCGTGAAAGTTACAGGCATCCGTGAAGTCTCCGTCCGGTACAAGCCAACCACCGATGCCCTCGGGCCCGCATCCATTTGAGGTAAGCGGGACTGGAGGACTCTTGGAGGTGGCATGTTGAGCAGGATTAGAACACTTAGTGCCGGGAGGAGTTTCTACCTCCTTCGGTTTAACATAGAATCCTTTCGGCACTGGAATATCGCGTCGGTTCTTCCTCTTGGATTGTTCCGATGTGAGAACAATAAGATCGCCGTTGTCCGTGACGATGAAGTCGAATGATTCACCTCCGACAATGCCAGCGCTGGTCAGTCCATCACACTCCACTGACCAAATTGTTGTGATATATTGGTTATCAGTGCCGACATACGATTGTCCGTTGGAGCTTCACGGATTTCTCATTAGATCGTGTGTCTAGTTAATCGGGTTTTGGGTAACATTACCTTGTGTCGACAAATCCAACCGCTCCTGTCTTAAAAACCGCAAGATAAAGCGTTTGACCTCCGGCGTTCAAGACGATGTCATATAAGCTTTCAGCTGTCAGTATGTCCTATTCGATTCCGAAATTCAACGCAGCATGGGTTCATCACGTACCCGTTGGGAGCGCCAGAAGGATGAGAGAACTTGAATGGATCCACAGGTATCGATGCATCGTCTGTTTCAACAGCTTTCCCGTCTTTGTTAACAATAGCAAGTCCATTCGGCGTATATAGTTCCTAATTGCGGGTAAGCAACGCTTATCAAGTGATGAAAGACTTTAGCCTCGACTTACAAATTCGCCGCCAGTAGCTGGGTCGAAGACACACTGGTCGTAAGAAGAGGGGATCGCTGGTTGGTAGCCGCCAGTCGGCACTGCCGATGTGCTTGCCGTAGTTGTGCTAACCGTAGTTGTGCTCACCACAGATGTGCTTGACGCAGAGGTGCTCACGGCCGATGCGCTCACTGTCACGGTGGTGGTCTTGTAAAAGTAAGCATTGTGACTCTGAAGTTGTGTTGGGCTGGTAAGCATTGAGGTTCTCACCTGGTCTTCTCTTGAGATAGTACTAGCCGTGATGCCCCAGCAGGAGCAAGCGCTTGAGTACCGCGAGGTTCCAGAACATTCCGAGGCGTATGTAGGAATGGTCTTTGCCGTAGGAGCGGCAGAAGTGGCAATTGTTACAGTGCTTAAAATGGCGTCAGCTCAATACAATTGATTTAGATGGCATTTTTCAGTGTGCGTACGTTGTGTGCCCATACTGAGTTTGTATCATGAAATTCTGGCAGTCAGTCTTGGCGCCGGAGGCAAAGGCGATGCCTCTTCGGGTTCCAGTAACAGCTCGGGCGCAGTTGTCGTTACTGCAGCTGTATGCGATGGCAGTGATCCAAGGCGATAGCCAGAGAAGCAAGGCAGGGGTTGTTAGTTGCAATGCCTTCATCGTGAACAAGAAGATTTTATAGCGATTTGTATAAGAGAGTACTGTTGTTACAATATGTAAAGCATCCGGTCGACCAATTTTGACCTGGAAGGCATCCAATGATGGTTATATATGTAAACTGCATCCCTTTAATGGATGTGAAACCTTTTCTTTTCTCACAGACTTATTGCGACCCTTCGACTTGGATGGTGATTTGTAGCACACTGTGATGCTACTATGTAGCTGAAAGTTGTGGCTTTCAATTATTGATAGCCAGAGGCATTCCTACTTTTACACGACAGGGATACAACACAGGTGAACTCACCAAAGAGATCACTTGTTGTTCAATCATGATAATTTTCATGCTAAGTACTCCAATCCAGCCGCACCCGACAGGATACATATTATTGTCTTCCTTTTCTTTTTCAAGTTCTACTAAAAGTCCTTAATCTCGTGTTCCGCAACCTTGTCGAGTTTTAGAAAGCTGAAGTTTTTAGCTTTCGATATTAACAGCATTCTAGATTTTCAGCCCCGATGCAACTAGTCCCCTTGATACATGCGGCGGTTCAAGTGCCCTGGTTTATTGGTGGTGTCTCAAAGAGGCCCATATATATCCTCCCTGTGCTCAATGTTTCGGTGACACCCGTTCTCTACTGCCCACCTTCGGAAACTTCCGCCTCCACAGGCATACGGTGCATATGTGTGCAGGGAAAGAAACTGGCGAAAGAGCTTAGGGCATCTAAGCATGGCCGAGGATCTTCAACAGTTTTGTTTGGTAAAACCCATTATGGTCTAGACATGCTGCTAAGCCATCGACGGCCCCTGACGGTGAATGACTTTGTAGGGCTTGTTTTCAAGTGCCTGAAGCTCGGAAGGTTGATTTTTTTATGGTTAATTGTTTAAAACTAGCCAGGTCTACTTTACGAGAACCCCTTCGTCATGTTGGCTCTCTTCTGGGCGATCTATGCGAAAGACTTAAATGGTTCTAATTCATACCTTACTTGATATACTGCATTTGTTATTGGTGGATGGCGATGTTGTCATTTGGTTGTAGCTGAACAGAGACAACCTTACAAGGCTTTTAAATATATAAAAGGAGTATTATAGCTAGATGTTTCAGCGCTCGGATCAAGTGGATCAAGTGGTCTTTGGTAGCACACCCTTCAAGACTGATGTCGCCCTTCATACCTAGGAATGGCCTGGGCTCGCCTGCCCCTTCGTAGTGATCGGGGTAAAGCAATGTAAACTAAACAGATAACTGACTAAGATCTGATCTCTTTCGTCTACTTATCAAAAACTGATGTTTCTTTACCCTTTTCCATAACCACAATAGGCGCGGCACGTCTCTCATGCGACTAGGCGGCACAGCCGTGGTCATGTTTTTATTTAGCAACTGGCTCCTAGAATTAGCCACTCCCTGCGGTGCCAAGAGGACTACAAAACCCTTGTAAGGTGATGATTACAGCCCTTGAAAGCTTATTCTTCGGATGGGTGTTGCCACTTCCCCCTTCTATGGAACGCTATTCATGTGATATCCGCAGTCTCGATGAGTACAAATGCTGTTATTCCTTCAGTCTCCTCTGAGACAGGAGACTGCCAGGAAGCGCTAATGTAGGCGAAATAAAAGTACATTAACTAAGGATGGTGGGGATAGAGGTACCATAGTAAAGGTAAACCTACGCGACTTGCGTTCTGCTCCATTTTGTTTTATGGCAGAAACCTGGAAGAAAATCCCCACCACGCCTACGTCATCTATTCCTCAAAAGGGTTCGCTTGTCGAATCCCCACATCGTATGAAAGTACTGCAGGCGAGTTAGGAGTGTTGCATGCCACATAAATATAAGCATCAACTATTTTCATTCTATGGGATATGTTTTGGGAGAGAACGGGGTTTTAAGATGAAAAACATGACGTTCAATACCACCTTGACATACAACTCAATTGGTGCCGCTTAAACCTCGGAATTTTGTCAAATCAGGACCTAAAGAAATAAAGATAATATGTCTGGTGGCTTTTCTTTAATCTTTTTGCGCTTATACGAACCCAATACCAATCATAAAGCTACCGACTGAGATACAAACAGGCGACACATTCAGTGATAGCTTAGACGTCACGAACAGACAACTCTATCACAGGAATTGGCGAGTGCAGTGTCGTTCTTTACGCAAATGAAACTTTCCAGCACGCAGCTCTAGTAAAATTCCGAGAACAAATATTTTATCAAGATGTAAAGACAACCCTGAAAATACAGTGGCATTTATTGGGTGTTGGCTACCAAGCAAAATTTGGGACACATAACACGCGTTCATCTGTTATATGGAATTATGTGATGGAGTGTTATTCTCTAGTTCCGGAAACATAAAATCTCAATGTTCCTTACTACCCAATGTTATTTCGAGACAGCTTCGTTGAGCTTTTCATGGGCGCCAAAGCAAAGGCACAGCAACATGCAGTTGAGCTAATGCATGGGGGACGGATTTACTGAACATGAACGTGCCATCCTCTTCATCAAAATTACCTCAGGGAATGTTTATTGACTTAAGATACATAAAGTGTGTTGATCAGCGGGAGCATTGTTACGATACCACGTTGTCATATGACGATCAGATGCTTTCAAGGTACTGCTGCACGGGCCGAAGCGGTTTGACAGGTTTATAGTTATGTGGAACTTGAACCTCGGCATTCCGCAAACTGGATGTAGCTTACTCAGGCTTTGCCTTGTTATTATTCCTCCACTAGCCAAGGCGTAATTGATTGTGTCATCAACAGCCAATTTCCAAGAAGCCAAGCCACAGCGTGTTATTACAGCGAGGAATTCCCTCCAAAAGCCTATACAATGTAATGACCGGCATTTCGAGCTGGCAGATTGCACGTGGACGATTTGTTTTTTGTTGATCTCCGGCCTATTCCGAGTGGTCAACACCATCTCATTGGCGCGCGTCTTAGAGCTTCTGTAGCTAGCAATAAACCTTGACAAGGACCACCCCCACACCAACCCCAGATCTCGACGGCATTGAGCCACAAACGCGGGGATGGTAACATTCTTCTCGGGCGAGCTTTCAGCCGATCCAACAGCCTTTCTTCCATGGGGCATGAGGTCACACTGCCAATAAATCGGGAAGGGTATACCCCAGACGCGCCAATAATCACGATGTTGTACCTGCACATAGCGCTGGCTAACCCGAACATGGACACTCCACCGGCTGAGGTGGATTCCAATCATCCGTTTACGAGTCACGAATTCAAGGAAAAGCTCGGTTCCAACGTTCTTTGAGCTGTCAAGCTTCATCTTGACTGACGTGACCTCGGTGCAACAATCGCAATCGCCCCCTCTCAAGCTTCAATGGCAAGATATATAAGCTACCCCGCCATGCGGAGGTTGTGAGTAGCTGTTTTCCCCCAAGGCGATTGTCTCCTCCGCTTCGAACCCCCGTTCTTCCCCAGGTTCAACAGGTCAATTCCTCCAAATTCAGCCATAATGAAGTTTCTCGGTGCCACTGTTGCTGGTCTCGCCAGCTTCCTGTCTATTCAGGTCGCTGCCAGCCCAGTTCCCACTCCCGTCGAGGGCCGTCAGGCCAGCGGAACTGTGTCGAACAAGGTCATCTTCTCCCCGCCATCCAACGCCGGCTGGGTCGACCCTCGTGTTCTCTACGCCCGCGCTCTCCAGCTGGATTCGGGTGACCTGATTGCCACTTGGGAGAACTACTCCCCTGAGCCGCCCATCGTCTACTTCCCCATCTGGCGCTCATCCGACGGTGGAAACACCTGGGCTGAGATCGGCCGCGTTCAGGACCAAGTCAACGGATGGGGCTTGCGCTACCAGCCCTCTTTCTACAAGCTGCCTACCGAATTCGCTGGTTACCCGGCTGGCACCATTCTGCTCGCCGGTAACAGCATTCCCACGGACCTCAGCCTGACCAAGATTGACGTCTACGTCAGCACCGATGGCGGTGCCAACTGGGAGTTCCTCAGCAGCGTCGCCAGCGGAGGCGAGGCCCGCCCCAACAACGGCCTGACTCCCGTTTGGGAGCCTCACTTCTTGTAAGAAGAATCCTCTCCAACTCGATTACCTCGAAGGAAACTCTACTAACTTGAATCTTTCCTCCAGGCTCCACGACGGCGAGCTCATCCTCTACTACGCCGACCAGCGCGATCCCAAGTACGGCCAAAAGCTTTCCCACCAAGTTACCAAGGACCTCAAGACCTGGAGCGCGATCGTCGACGATGTCAACGACCCTAATGCCTATGAGGCCCGTCCCGGCATGCCTGCCATCACCAAGCTGCCCAACGACGACTTCCTCTACGCCTACGAGGTCTGTGGCACCGATGGCTGCCGCGTGCACTACCGTCTCACAAAGGAGCCCCGCAACATCCTCGCCGCCCCAGGCATCTCTTTGGTCAGCGACAAGGGCACTCGCCCCGTCAGCTCGCCCCAGGTTGTCTGGTCTCCTCTCGGCGGTGTGAACGGCACCATCATCCTCAGCGCGGGCAGCCAGTCCAACATCTTTGTCAACCAGAAGCTCGGTGCTTCCAACGCGTGGGTCGAGTACGCTGTTCCCCAGCCCAACGCCTACTCTCGTGGCCTTGAGCTTCTTGATGATGGCACCAAGCTGGCCATTATCGGTGGCGGCAGACTGCCTCCCAGCAGCACCAACCAAGTCAGCATTAGCGTTGTTGACCTTAAGACGCTGCTTGGACTGTAAATTTATATACCATAATCGTAGTATAAAAAGACGAATGAATGCGTTATGAGCTTGACATACCTTTCCTAAATACCCACGTTACGAATTGTGAAAATATGTGTGTTCAAGTTTGCACTTCACCACGATGCACCACCTGTAAATTGGGTCAATTATCTAGGAACCCCATTGAACTCGTCAGGTTTCCGTCTGTTAGCAATTTCAGCAATCATGGATTTTATTGTGACAAACGCTGTAACTCGTCGAAGACCAACAAAATTACCACTAAATCATTTCAAGTGATTTCCCGTGAAAGCACATACAATTTAGGTACATAAACTCTTCAACTCTAGAACTGTTCTTCTACCTCCCACGTCGCTCTACTATCTAAGTAGTATTTATGTCTTAGAGTTGTACTTCGTAATCATCTTCTTCTGGACTGCAGCAGCAAGCTTCCGCAAATTCTCAGATCCTGTAATCTCAAGCGTGGCCAAGTCGACACCCATCCACTGCCTGATCCAGGCCCTTACTTCTATGCTTATTAGAGAGTCCATACCGATGTCCGTGAGTCGGACTTCCAAGTCGAGATCGGTATCTGACCTCAGCAGGAACTTGCACAACGTTTTACCGATGTGTGTGGCCAAGAACGTTATGGTCTCGTCTGACTGGAGGGAGACAATGTTGGAGCTAATCTCGCGAATTGCGTGGGATAACTCGTCATTAGACATCATATCCGAGCCCGACGAGCCTGAGGAGTCACCTGGTTCTATGTTGTGCAAGGCCAGCATACGTCGATCTCTCTTCCAGGGGACACGGCACGCTTTCGACGTCAGCGGTATGGTAGAGCGCATACCCATTGCCATGAGGCTTGACTGAATTCGGCAAGAAGAAGTTGCAGAGCCAGAGTCAGTCGGCGGTTCCATCAACATGCGCTCGATGCATTCTAGAAGCTCGACTTCCGTATTGAGCCACTGTCCCGTTGCCCTTGCGGAGTCGAGTACCTCAGGTCGGTCAGCAACGTATCCGACGTTACTGATGAAACCAACATTTAGAACACTGGCAGCCAAACCCAGACTGCGTCTGTAAGCAGCGAAAGATTCCATATACGTGTTTCCGGCATGATAATTGGCTTGTCCCCACCAACCACCGGTGGCAGCAGTAGAGCTGAAGAGGAAGAAGAAGTCAACCGGAACATCAGGTTGCTGTTTCAACAGCGCGTCATGGATGTTTCTGGTTCCGTCAATCTTGGGCTGCAATGCCGTCAGCCAATCGCCCCAACTCATGTTGAGGAAACTGGAATCCTGGAGGAGCATCGCAGCATGTAGAACGCCTCCGACAGGCATCTCAGCCGTTTTGATAGCTTCAGCGACATCGTTGTACTCGGCGACATCACCAGACACCATCGTGACCTTGCAACCCAATACCGCGAGCTCTTCGGCAACTTGTGCGTGTTTTGGCATTGAGCCTGCAGAGCGGGACAAAAAGACGATCTCTTTAGCTCCCTTTTCCGCAAGCCAAGTGGCTATGACTGTACCGAGTGACCCCAAGCCGCCAGTAAAGAGGTACGACCGATCATGCCTCAGCTTGAGCTTCTTGTAGATGGGCTCGGTGGGAAGCGCGTCATCAGCAGTGTCATCCGGCATTGTGACAACGAGCTTGCCTATGTGCTGACTCTTCTGCATTTGGCGGAATGGCTGGGATATTTGCGCGGCCGAGAATCTGGAAGCAATCCAAGGCTTGACGTGTCCCTCGGTCCAAAGCTGGATCACCCGCTCCAGAATTTCCCCCACGACTCGCGGTTTCCGGACCCAGAGGTGCGTCAGATCGACGGCAGTAAAGGTTCGATTTGATTCAAACTTCTCCATGGCTAATTTAGCATGACCGAGGAAATCCCGGCGGCCGAGCTCGACAAATGTGCCAAACTCTGCTACACATTGCCAGGATGCATGAAGCAGCTCTCCTGAAAGCTGGTTGAGGACGAGATCAACGCCACGTCCTTCTGTTACTGCCATGATTCCAGGCAAAAAGGATGAGTCGCGGGAGTTGAAAATGTGCTCCGGGGGAATCTTGCATTCTTTGACTAGGAAGTCTCTCTTGCTTTGACTACCAACAGTGCAGTAGATCTGCCACGGAGTTCATCAGTTTTGCGTTCTCCGTTTGCATCATAAGAGGGGCTATGAAAATAATTCTTCAACTCACATCGGCTTCTAGCATCTGAGCGAGCTGAAGGGCCGCCATGCCCACGCCTCCAGTAGCTGAATGTATTAGAATACTCTGCAAAACACATAAACGCGTTAGCACTTATTAATCAGAAAGGTTTTGAGTTGTTCATGAGCTGGGGAAGAGAAGAATTATCACATACCAATCCTTTGGTCGCATTGCCTTGGTTGAAAATTGCATGGAAAGCGGTGCAGTACGCAATGGGCATGCTAGCAGCATCCTCAAAACTCATGTTGTTGGGCATCTTGCAGCACAACTGTTGCGATACGGTCTTGCTGTTCGTAAACGACCCGCTCGAAATAACAGCGACCCTATCACCCACTTTCAACCTGTCCACGCCAGGGCCGACTTCTGAGACAATGCCTGCACATTCTAGGCCGAACCCGGCGTCGACGGCTGCTGCGTCCGTTATCACACCTTGCGCAATGAGCAAATCTTTGTAGTTCATGCCGATAGCCTTTACATCGACTCTGACATCGCCATCGGCAAGCACTGGAGCAGCCAGCGGCCTCCAGCAAAGTGTATCAGTAAGACCCGGCGTGCGTTGTTCCAACTTGCGTACACTCATTTCGTCAGGCAGCACTTCAACTTTCTGCGCGACATTTGTGTAGCGATAACGACTGACAAGAACCTCTCCGTCCGCATAAGCCCACTCATACTCAGGATTGGCGTCCGGATCATTCGAGACACGCTTCTCAAACTCGACGTACACCTTCTGGACAATTTCTGCCGCCGCCGCTGTGGAAATATTGTTGAGTTCGAGTGTAGCAAAATCAAGTCCTAGTTCACTGCGTATGACACGGGCGAAGCCAAGTAACGGCGCGTACTCTGGTTCAACTGTTCCTCCAATCTGGCACGGGCCTGTGAGCCAGAGAATACCACAGTTGCCGTCATGTGCAGCCTTGATAAATCGCTGAAGATGAGCAAAATCTTCTTCGACTAGGCCGATGAAGAAAGGAGAGGACATATCCAGGGTTGCTATAACATCTTGTCCTGGAGCAAGCTTTGCTTCTGAGTCCTCTAAATCATATACGTCGACTTTGTATGCCGCGGCTTGCAGATTGTCCTGTATGTTTGGAACTTTTTGGTTTGCTCGTTTCAGAAGCGTAACCCGTTTTGAACTGGACAAGAGCGATACCGGCCGAGAAACAATGTTGTTATTCGTATAATTGTCAAAACTGTTTGTTATATGACCGAACCCAGACTCTGAAAGCTCCTTTTTCCAGCGTTCGAAGTCGACATGGGGCTTCCAAACGCGGTTGTCAGCCTCACCAAGCCACCAACCGGATATGACACCAAAACAGTGATTGATCCAGGGCGTCACAGGAGCGATTTCTTGTAGGAGAAACCAACCACGAGGATGTATCAACTTTCTTATGTTTGCTAGTGACTCGCGCAGGTTAGGCGTGGCATGTATCACGTTCCAAGCAATGACAAGGTCGTAGGATTCCGGCTTGAAGCCTTGCTCCAATGGATCTTTGCTAACGTCAAGCAATGCAAATTCAAGGCCGGAATACTCCTTGAACCTCTCTTTCGCATCAGCGAAGAAGCCAGAAGATATATCAGTGTATGTGTAAGATTGGTACATTCTTTCTCCTTGTGCTGAAGTCAAACTTCGAAGGGTGCTGGCTGTCGCACCCCCGGTTCCGGCTCCGATTTCCAACACGCGGAGGTTCGGCTTTTTATGTCCGATAAGCGATAAGAATGCTGACGACTCCGTGTCTAGAAGCAGACAGTCGTACACGTGTTGCAGGACACCATCAGCCAGTAGGAGCTCAAGTTCGCTGATATCACCGTTGAAAATGCCTTCACAACTGGAGCTGACACGATGTATAGCAGTTGCGGGTGCATGAACTTCGCTGCCTTCTAGTTGTTTGAAGAGACGTGGGAGCAGTTCATCCCGAACATCTGCCGTCATTGTGACAAGTTGCGCAGCGTCAGGGACGCCAGGACACTTCAGCGAGCCAGAAGCGAGATCGGTGACTGTTTGCTCAAGCCATTTCCGATATTTGGTCAAGTGGTCGCGGCGTGGTTGAGGGGCACAGCGTATGTTGTCGAGGGTACGAGTAAGGGAGAGTACGTTGTATCGATCCAGAAGCCGATACAAATCCGCCTTTTCAGCGGTTATAGCTGAAGATATGAGAGAGGACGGATTGATAAATTCAATGTCTTTCCGCCACTCCAGCTGGGCAGCTCCATGAGAATTCAGATTCGCGTGTACTTCACCGGATTCGTTGATTCTGGACAGTTGCCAGCCTTTGGAGCTCACAACAGTGTTTTGACCATCCACAGATGCAACAACACTGCCTAGAAACGCTCCAGACCTCTGCTCCGTAATTTTCGACAGGAAGGACAATGCTTTGGCCCCCTCCGGGGGAGGGCCTAAGGTGAACTCATCAACATAAGCAATGAGGGCCAACGTATTGCAATTTCTCGTCAGGCCATGAGCTGCTGCCATATAAAGGCTCTGGACAAGACGGTCCAACGCCCCTGGGTGTATGGAGTAGTGTTTTTCTTCTCCTGGAAGCAAGTCAAGCCTCAAGGTTGCGGCAACCTTCGGTGACAAGGGGTCGGCTGTAATCTCCATACCACTGAAGCGCGGGCCGTATTCCAGACCGAGAGATCTGAACTTGCGGTACCAGGAAGCAGAAGAGCACACCCTCGAGAAGACCTTGCGGGTGGCTTCAGCACTGGCTATGTCCAGGCTGCTGTCTCTCTCTTTGGCGCTGCCACGGACCTTGCCAAATGCATGTTTCACCCAGCCCCCGTCATGATGACTAGAAATAGTGAAGTCATACCAATCCGAGTCAACCGAGTCAGTCAGACCAATCTGCTTCAGTTGCGTGATGATTTCTGTCTGACTCTCGAAGGTCATAAGCAGCGCAGCGTTGAAGTGCACCTGCTTGCATGTAAAGCCGCTCTCTCCAGTAAGCTGCCGGACAGCTTCGCCAGCCATGCATAAGTAAGAGACACCTGGCAGGATAATACTGCCCTCAACTTCATGTTCTGCAATCCAAGGCACATCTTCAAGACGCAGCAGGTTTCTCCAGGCCGGATTGGTGGGAGTACTCTCCAAAACCCTACTGCCAAGGAGTTCATGATGCCGGAATTTACGAAGACGGTACTCTTCAGAGAGCCTAGACTCATGCCAAAGCGGCTCTTCATAATGCCATGGATACAAAGGAAGATCTGTAAGGGTCTCTCCTTTGTCCACTACACGGCTCAGGGCTACCGGATGGTTATGCAACCACAGCTCGCCCACAGCACGGAGAAGCTCCTGATGTGAATCTTGGCCGCGGTTGAGGACGCTAATGTACTCAGCGTTGATATTTTCAGCAACTAAAATCTGGCGAATGGGTCCTGCAAGTGCAGAGTGAGGCCCAACTTCGAGGAAGGTCTTTTTCGACTTTAAAGTATGAATCATCTTACTTACGGCCCCGCTGAATAGGACTGGCGAGACCAGGTTTTGGACCCAGTAGGCCGGACCGAGATCAACCCCATTAGAGATGGGCCGGTTCGCAACGCTTGAGATGAACGGCGTCCTCGGATCACGAGGCTTTATATGAGGCTGGAGTAGGTCAAAATATTGTGAAGCAACGGCTTGCATGTGATGAGAGTGATAGGCTCTGTCTACCTGCAGAGCTCTGGCGAGAACGTCCGGGTGGGCTTTCTTGATGTCGTTGACAACCATCTCCAAGACAATCTTGTCGCCGGTGATCGTGACGCTATTGGGGCTGTTTTCGCAGCCAATAAGCACACCAGGTCGAAGATGCGGTGTAACCTCTACCTTTCCTAGTCCGATTGCAGCCATGCCGCCGACAGAGCTTTCAATAGCTCCTAGGACCTTTCCGCGGTAGTAGGCGATAATAATGGCCTCGCGTTGAGTGATTGCTCCGCAAGCATACGCCGCTGCAATCTCACCTGAGGAGTGACCTAGCACGGCCCCGGGCCTAATATTGTACTTTTCCAGGACGTCGACAAGAGCCACTTGTAGAGCTGCGCAACAAACCTGCGAGATCTTTCCATCATTGATCATCGAAATCTTTTTTGGCGCTAACATTTGATCTTATCCCTCAAACATGTCAGCTTAGTTGACAATGTAGCCAACCATGGGTGGCTAATCATAGTGGTTTTCAACGTACCTATCAATTTCCATTTCGGAGCATCTGGTAACTGCTGCAACATCTTATCCATCACGGTTATCGAATTTCTAAATGAAGGAACATTCTGTATCAAAGACTTCCCCATTTGAGCCCACTGCGCGCCCTGCCCGGTGAAGATGAAGACCAACTGAGCAGGATCGTACGGACCGTGATGAGTTGATTTGAGTATTTTCCAGTCATCAACACCGTTTGCTACACAACAAGCACGGTAGCTCAGCGTCTCACGCTTCATAGCTAGGGTATATGCCATGTCTCTTAAGTGATCTGGGTGGGACAGGTAGTACGCTTGATGTTGCCTTACCATTTTCTCAAGCGATTTGGGGTGTTTGGCCGACAAAACAAGAAGTTTAGGAGGCTCTATACCAAGACTTCCTGCGATATGGCTGGTGACCTTCTTTTTTCTATCTTTTTCTTGAATGCCTAAGTGGCTAGCCGAGGCGAGAAGAGCGTATGCGTTGGATCCACCGACTCCATAGGAACTGACACCAACGACTCTATCCTTTCCCTTGGGCCAAGGAATGGGCTCTGTGGGAACTTTGAGCTGATAGCGCTCAAATGGGATCTTGGGATTTGGGGACTTGAAGTTGGCATTTGGGGGGATTATGTCGTTCTCGAGAGCAAGCGTCATCTTTAAAACGCTAGCAAGGCCAGCAGCACCTTCAACGTGACCAATGTTGGTCTTGACAGAGCCGATATAGACTCCTCCGTGGTCTCCGAAAACGCGTCCCACTGCCTCTGCCTCAATAGGATCGCCGACGGGGGTCCCTGTTCCGTGACACTCCATCATTGCTGTCCTGGAGTAGTCCTTGATGCCGGCGAGTTCATGAGCCCTCCGGATCAAGTCCTCTTGGGCTATTGGATTCGGTGCGGTCATGGTGGAAGACTTCCCACTGGAGTTGCTGGCCGTGGAAAGAATGACCGAACGAATGGGATCACCGTCCCGAACCGCATCACGCAGTCTTTTGACGTACACGGCCACCACGCCCTCTCCCCGCACAAATCCGTCTGCCTCAGCATCGAACGTTTTGCACATCCCTGAGGGTGACAAAACGTTGTGATCATTCATGGTAGCGGTTAGAGTGGGGGAGTATATGACGCTTGTACCCGCCACAACTGCTGCTTCACAATCACCATGAATCAGGGCATGGCAAGCTTGGTGAAGACCCAGTAGTGAGGAGCTACAGGCTGTCCGAACGGTAACACTCGGCCCCATGAAACCAAACTCGTAATGGATTCGATCTGCGGGCATGAAGTCGAAGCCATTGAGAAGGTTGTAGGGATGAACGACTTGTGGGTCGCGGGCATCCAGTTCCGCCCGGTCACCACCGAAGCTTCCAACCCAGACGCCGATCCTTCTTCCCCGGATTTCCGACGGCTTCTGGCCCGCGCTTTGGAGAGTCTCATAGACAACTTCGAGAGCCAATCGTTGCTGTGGATCCAGAGTTTCCAGCTCTTTTTTGGTCATGGACCAAAAAGAGGCGTCGATGTTTTTAAAGTCGATATTGCTGTCAAGGAAATAACCATACTCGCTGGGCACATGTCTTTTTTTGCCCGGCGCGTACCACGCCTCAACATTGTAGCGATCTTTGGGGACTTTACACCGACCGTCGCGTTTGCTCACAAGCATATCCCAGAAGGCGTCAGGGTCAGTAACGCCTCCAGGTAAGCGCATCCCCAGCCCGCAAATGGCGACTGGCTCGATAGGAGCCGTGCTGTCATCGCCTGAAGCGTAGACATCGCTGCTAGAACCGCTGTCGTTGATACCAGAGCCATTAATACCGTTGACAGTAATGCCAATGCCGCTGCCGCCATAAATTCTTGGAACTGGTTCTTCATCGTAGAACATTGGCAACATGTTGACTGGCTTCTCTGGCTTAGCTGGCTTAGCTGGCTTTGGCAATCTGAGAAAGCATGGTTTACGACTCAAAGACCTGATTCAAGCTGTCTGTATGTTTCTTAAATACCAAGGCAGTTTAGGACATGAACCGATGCATCCCACTTTACAATGGGGGAAGTCGCATACCTCTCTGATTCCTCTCACGACTCATGAAGAGCCGATATCCGTAGATAGGCTCGAAGTTTCAAGCGATCAAATTGATTGGCTATAGTTGAACCTAGTGTTTCGGTGCTCACTCGGTTAAGCTAAAAGAGGCATTATAACCCGCTGAATACTTGTTCGATCGGTACTTCTAGAAGTCCGCGGCGATGTCATGCAATTTTCGATGCGTAAACTTTCTCCTAGCGTATAAACCATCCCACATGCTCACAAGTGGACCGCCTGGGCTACGAGCTGCGAGTCTCGAGCTTAAAGCCCGAAGTTGCTGAATTCCGAAACCTTCGAGCAACTCGGACAAGCTTTACAATGTCTTCATGCTTTCTGAGATGCATGATCTCTTATAAAATCATGTTTATTCAATCCGAAAGCTCTTAAGTACATGTGCGGTTATTTACATATTCTCAATGAATGTGAGCCCAGTATCATTGCCATTCTTGTTGATGTTATGTTATAGCCTCTTCCTTCAGGCTAATATTGCTTTGTATGTGAATGGTCCCTCTCCAACGCTTTAACAAATTCTTTTCATCATGTACGACAACATCTTGAACGGTCACGGAATGAACGGTCACTCTGATACGGAATTCTCTGCCTCGCCAGTACCGGATCTTTGGATCACCGGCATCGGCTCGCAGTATCCTCCGTATTTAATCCCACCAGAGACATTTGTGAATTATGCCAAAAGATTCCACGATGTGGAGAAACCAGTGTAAGTGATGCCCCGATTTTTGTTATTCCGGTATGAACAACATTAACTTGCAGCGGAAACAGACTCGCGAGATTGCTCAAGCTCACAATGACCAGCGGGATTGAGACACGTGCTTCCACGATGGATTTTGAGACCGGGTTCGGCTGCCATACGGAGATCCCGACCATCGATCAGCTTGATGCGCGGTTCCGCAAGGTGGGTGTTGATTTGACGGTCCAGGCCTGTCGAAAAGCTTTGCGTGACTGGGGTGGCAATGCGGAAGATATCACGCATGTCATAGGAGTCACCGTAGGCACCTTAAGCCTCCCCGGCTACGACTATTTAGTAGCCCGCAAGCTTGGGCTGGGCTACCACGTTGAGAACATGTTCCTCAATGGCATTGGCTGCGCGGGGAGCGTGGCGTTGATGCGTGTAGCCGGCAACATCGCCACAGCGGCGGCAGCCAGGAAAAGGCCTGCTCGTATCCTTTGCTTTGCCTCAGAAGTCTGCACTATGTATTTGAGACACCAGTACGCCGAAGCCGAGGCGTCTTCTGACCTTGAGAACATGGACATAGCAGGCGCTATATTTGGCGACGCTGCATCTGCCTTCGTTCTGTGCAACGAATACGGATTGGATGACCCTGAGCAAGCCAAATTTCAATTGCTCGAATGGGAGCGCATGACGGTGCCAGAAACAATACACCACATGGGTGCCATGGTCAAAACTACCGGCTTCACAAGCATCATTACCAAACAAGTCCCAGATATCACAAAAAGTGCGGTCCAGCCCTTATGGAATAGACTTCTGCCTTCTTACCGTGAGAAGGTCGGTCTTCCTACACTGAAGGTTTCCGACTTCGACTGGGCGCTACATCCGGGCGGCGAAACAATCATCAACAATGTCAAGGACAGCATGTCGTTGACAGAAGAGCAGCTTAGGGCCACTCGGCAAATTTACAAAACTAGAGGAAATACCGGAAGCCCAACGGCTATTTGTGTGCTTGACCTGCTAAGAAACATGGGGCCAGGAAGTGACCATGTGGTTGCGACCAGCTTTGGGCCAGGCTTAGCTAGTGAGATGGCTTTTTTGAGGCGCTGTCGACCTGAAGAATAAATGACCCACTTTTTGTAGTAGTTACCATGAAATTGGAAGTGAGATGGAATGACTTTTTGATAAATTATGACACAGATTGTGGCTGTCAAATTCCTATGTCTATCAGTAAATCTCTTCATTATCCACACGTTTATGTATGTCTTAAGATAATGAATACTTTAACTTATGGAAGGCGAGTTTCATATTCTAAAACTCGCCTTCCATATTCTACTGGATAGATTCTCTAAGGAGAGCCAACATCTGCAAAATTACTCTGATGCAACCCTTGTCAATTTACACAACAAAGGCCTCTTTTGCCATAGTGTGAAAACTTTCATATCTTTCCAATCCGCAGACTCATCGCTCAACTTAATATCAAAGTTCAGTAAGACAGTTGATAGGAGCTGTCAAAAGTTAGCATGTTTCGTTCGCTCAATTTGATACATCGCAAATCAGCAAGATGGATGTCGCTTACCAACCGAATTTCATGCATTGCAAGATCCTAAAGGCATAGAATTAGCATTAAGACTTTCAATGTGATATTTGAAAATAATACCTTGCCTATGCAATTCATTGGTCCCATAAGGAATGGCTTAGCCATGTCCAAGCAATCATTTTCAAACTCTGGGTCTCGGAGCCACCGCTGTGGATGGAATTCGAGAGGCTTCTTAAAATACTGCTCTTGAGTATGTATAGAGAGATAATGAACACCAACAATGGTGCCTTCTGGAATCCACTCTCCGCAAATTTGTGCTCCTCCTTTTGGAATTGTGCGAGGCAATGCGATTGGAAGCGGTGGGTGCAGACGCAGCTTTCAATAAGTTAGTAACGCTGTTTTTTAGTTCGGTGTTAAATCATGGGACACCAGCTTACTCCTTCTTGAATCACAGCTTGAAGATACTTGAGGCTTGCCAACGCCTCAAGAGACATATTTCCGGATGTCGAGAATGTTGACCGGATTTCTTTAGTAAGCTTTTCTAAGTATTCTGGATTGCGGAGGAGATAAAACGTGGTTGCGGACAGCGCTGATGCAATGGTTTCAGTTCCGGCCGTCATGAATAGAAAAGCATTGGCATATTGTTCTTCCATCGTCAAACTCTCGGAGTCATCTCTCTTTTCAAGAATCCTGGACCACAAGTCAGGATGCTTGGGCGTGCGCTGCAGTCGTCGATCGACACGCTCAGAACAGTACTTCCAGTTCTCAAGCTGCTTTTTCTGCACCGCCGGGTTGTATTTCAGAAAGGTGTCTGCTATCCATCTAGCAGCTCGACTGTGTGTCTTAACTCCTAGTAAGAAGGTGGCAGCTTTTACTGAGCCGAAGATCGACTCAACCCATGGAGAACATTCCCCCTCTTCAAGCATATTGAGATCTTCATTGAAAGTCAAGTCGCCCATAATATCGAAAGTAGTACAATTGTAATACTTTACAATGTCGATTTGATCGACGACACTTGCTGCGTCGGCCAACTTGATCTTGAACTTCTCCGCCCACCGTGAAAAGATAGGCTGTTGTTCCATGAGTGCCGTATTGCTGAAAGACCGTGCAAGAACTTTTCGCTGCCGGGCATGATTTGCATGTTCACGAGCTGTTATAAGATTGCTGACATCTGTGAAGCCAAATATCTTTGAGTAAAATAGCGGTTCTTTGACAATCCCGCCCTCTTTTGTTGCATTAAAGCCGTGGATATCTTTCCAGACCCCGTCCCCTCCAGCAAAAGAGAGCAATTTTGGCCCGACCCTTACAACTGGACCATACTTCTTGTGGAGAGCTGGTCGATCAATGTTGTCATTTCCAGTTATCAATGAATGAATCTCAAAAATGTTGGAAAAAGCGCGAAGCTTCGGTCCTGGAAACTTGCTCAATGGGCCGAAATAGACGCTGTGGATAGTAGCGACGATCTTGTAAGTGATGCAGAAAACCGTTGATATGAGAATGATATTGTAAAGATGGGTACTGACGAGACCCTGAGCAAAGAAAAGCTGAGACATGATAAAGCCTAGTAAAATGTATCCACGGTTTGGTTATCTCCCAAAGTCCTAAGATATGTTTTCATGGAATTTGTGTGATTCAAGACTCCAGATTGACTGACTTGCAATTAGTGTAAATCTCCATTCCAAGCGTGGAAGGACTGGGGGCCTTTCACAAAAGCGGTGGGGAGACAATCGCGGAATCATAAATCGCCAAACCCTTAAGCACTTAGGCGTATTTTGCACTTATCCAGTGATGTAGGTAAAACCCTGGGTCGGATTTCTGTCAATAATGTTTCTGCTTCAGCACTTGCATTGTCACAACTGTGACTCGCCGCGGATATACTATAAGCTTTAGCCCTACCATGACTAAGACAGAAAGATTATGCTTGTATTTAGGTTTGTCGATTTACGTTAAGCGGATACATAGCTAGTCATACATTTGAACCTAATTATCATCGCGCAGCTAACGGGCCCCTACCCTTGAAGCTATGACAAGCACTATTTGATACAATTTAGACTTCTCATCATCTGCTGTCCACCTTGAGCTCTAGAATACGTTCCTTGCTCCCCACTGCTCGGTTACTGAATTCAGACATCGAGCACAGTTGCGCGTCTCAAGTCTCTTTTGAACTTTCCAGCGTAAGAACCCGGACCGGCTCTATGCATGACAGTTCTGTCAATCTTCAAGTATCAGTATTGTGACCTTTGCACTGAATATTTCTCTCTTGTGAGCTGGACTTACCTATTGTCCCATATAATCAAGTCACCTGGATTTTTCCACTCCACATTCAGCTGATACTTCGCTTTGGCGGCATGCTGCATGAGTTTGTGCTGTAGTCCCGCCATCTCGTCTTCCTCTTCTGGCGCACATTCGATATGGTGCATATAGAGTCCAATGTATAGATTCACTCTGTTGGACGGCTGATGCAGCTCGATTAGCTGGTGCTTGGCCATGGGGTAGTCGAAAGGGTCTAAATCTTGGTACATGTCCGGGTTGCTTGTCTTCAGAGCATGATGCCACGAGTGGACACCAACATAATTCTTAGACAAAAGTCTCTCCTTCAACCCCGACTCGATTTCATCCAGGTCTTGGAATGCTGCTCTAGTGTCGGCGAAAATTGTATCACCGCCATACCCTGGGGGAGGTATCTCATACGCCCTTAGGAGACTCCATGATGCACGTTGCTGGTTGTATGCAAGATCAGCATGTAGGAAAGAGGAAACTTTGGCGATTTGAGCGTTAGGTCCCCCGGTAGTAACGGGCTTCCCAGTCTCGGGGTCGACATTACTCAAGTCCGCGAGCTCATAAGTGCCGAGTCGTGACTTTTTACCTGCGAGCACCTGACTCATACTAAAGATAGGCCCAAAGCGCCGAGCAAGCTTGACATGGCTAGAGTCATCGAGATCAGTGGCACGGAAGACCAAAACGCCATACTGTTTATGGTAAGTCATAGGCTCCATGGCAAGTGAACTCGTAATTGTTCAAATTTGGAAAGGCTCGGCGGAAGGTTTAAACTCACGTTTGCGGATAATTCAAGAATTTGGTCAAACACATCGTCTGCGACAGGCTTCGATACATCAACCCCGGAGATTTCGGCACCGAATGAAGGATGCAGTTCCCTAACCTTGAGTCGGTTAACGAGTTTGTTTTTGTGACCCCTAAGGCCCCTCATGTTTGGTCCTTTCGATACCAAAGGTAACTTCTGTGTGTCGGTTTTTGATTGTGATAAGGGAACTTGAAAATCGCAGCAAATTAGGAAGTTGCCTTTGCGAGGTGTCGGGGGTTTTAGTTTTAGAAGTGCTAGACAGTGTTTGTTGCAAAGCGTAGAGTTCAAAGAGTAGAGTTCGGGCTATACTGTGGATTCTACACTTTGCGATTAGTGATACCGGCAACTCGAAGCAAGAGGCAAGTTTGACAAAGTAATGCTTAGGTTGTTCATTGGCGTTCACTAACTTGTCAATCAACCTGGACAGAGGCAACTACGTTTTCTCTGTCATATTTATAAGTAGAGATGAGTAAACACCGCAAAGTTTGGCATCGCGAGTCATCTAGAGGAACTTCTTGACAACAAGGATATCAACCCACAAGGATGTGCTGGTTGTTCATACCGAAATCTCAGAAAACTCTATATTTTCACCATACGACCAAGGCTCTGAAGACTGGCTGCCAACTTGGTTTTATGCAACACATCTATGACACCGCTATGTTAACACCACTTAGTCTCAGATGTACCATATGCTAATAGCAGAGTAGAGGTATCTAAGCTTTAAGCTTTCGGCTTATTGTACCTATTGCGGTATCGGCATCCGCACTAGCTCCAGAAACATTATATTGAATGCACTGCCAACAAGCTTTTTTCAAGTCGATTTATCTTCAGAAAATTCTTTCTCTTTATGAGTGAGTTTTCATGTGGAAAGCCAAGTCTTTCACAGGGATACAAGGTACTATCGAAATGAAAAAGATGGAGAGCATTAATTGGGTTAAGATCCTTTCTTTTTGATAGTGCAATCTTCGAAGAATTGCATTAAACCATTACACTCAAAATTAGTACTATAAAGCCGCCAAAGCTCATGCCAGCACAACAACGTAGAAAAAATAACTTCCCAATTGCTAAGCGTCCATACAAAGATATTCTATTCTTCTAGATCAAGACAGGGTTCTTTCAGATTTTGTTTTACTACTCAAAGAGATACAAATGCGTGCAGGGAATGTAGCGATCCTTGGACATCTACTATTTGAGTCCATGGCATCCATGTCCTTTTTCTTTCAACCACACAAGCAGCTGCAAGACCCGGGAGCAAGTGAAGAGGCAGTTTTAATATGCCACAGCTATGCAGGAATGCTTCTAGCTACCGATATGCTGTGCTTGCTCTGTCTCATTCGGAGTGGCATCGAACGGTTTGACGACACCAGTGCCATGGTCACATGGTCTATGGCTATCTATCACCTTTTCCCTATGAGAAGGGCTTGGGCTAGGATTAAGAAGCGAAGAGGCAACTACTCTCCCGAAGAGAAGATGGCAGGTGGTCCGCCAGGACACCTTATCATCCACGGTGGTTTATTCGCATCCCTGGTTTGGGCGGGTTTTCTAGGAAAGGGATGATCGAGGTCATACGAGAAGTAGCAGCACTTGCATAGATTGCTATGCTGCAGGAATTTCAACAAGCCAATACACGTTGTGATTGAGACTGTTCCAAGTTTAGAACTTTGAAATGAATGTAGGTCATCAGAATCAGTAGAAGCCTTCTGAGAGATGAAAACAATGATTCAAGACGTGGTTATCTTCTTACCCTTTCACTTACCTTTTGGGTCTGTTTGAGGGTGCCCCCAGTAGTGATGTGCTCTGAGCCGAGCCCCTCGTAAAATATCCTGGGTTCTTACTTGCAATTCTTCGAGGCTAGTGACTGAAACGAACTTTATTTCAACCGACTGCCTCGCAAATTGCCTCGAGCTGTGGAAACTACCGCCAACCATGGTAGAGATGCAATCGGGCCAGCATCATTTCGCCCTCTTAGGTGCTCGTGGCAACCAGGCACTAGGAATTAACACACGTCGGGCTTGAAATTACTTCGTAGTCTTCGTACTATGATTTATGTTCTGGGCGAGCCTCGTTGGACCATTGCATATACCGGGGATGAAAAGGGTAGAAGGACCATCAGTCGAGAGACAATAGAATTAGCTTCTTCGTTGCGCTATCACCTAGAAAGTAATCTAAGCAAAGAGTCCCATTGGTTGACGCCAGGTCGAGTCCGCATGGCGGGTAGAGCGGCATGCAACTTACTCGTTCAAACGTGTAAACAGTTATGTATTACTTAGTATTCAATAGAGTCCAATTACCATCAATATTAGCTTTGGTTTGAAAGAAGGGCGGAGAACTGCACGGAAAAACTATAAAGACGGAGGGAGGTCAGGGAAAAGCAGAGAGCATGTAGACCCCTGATTCCAAAACCAGTGATCAAAAAGGATGCGCGCTGACTCGACGAAACTTCGATCTTGTATCCGATGAGATATTTTTAATCGTTCAGATCAAACAGACTCAACGTTGTTCACATGCAGAGAGCGTGGCATCCCGAAGCGCTAACTATCTTCAGACATATTACCAGTTATTTTACTTTCTGTAGGTACGTACAAGGGACCGTACCTTTATTGCCAAATTGATAGGTAGTAGCAAACGAGGTCCTCATCTAGAGTTCGCACTTGTTTGCTCCTAAAACTAAACAAGTCGCATTTCCTTAAACCTTGTACAAGCAAGTTCTAGTCTGGGTACTGAGAGAATCCAATCACGGAGCGGAAAATTCGCTCCTGAAGAAAGATTAACACGGAGTAACTGTACTAGGAAGTTGGACGCGCTGTCACGCAAACCTAGGGTATAAGCATAAAAAGCAAACTATATTTTGAGTAATGTCTTTCGAGTATGGGTGCTCAAAAAGTGCAATTGGTTCGGTTGAAGTAAGCTACAGTACCACGGAAAACCCGTTGACTTACACGTGCCTTACAAACCTTTGCATATCGGAAGTGTAACTTGCAGCTTCTATTTTCTTTAGATTGGGGAAATTAGTAATTTCAGCTAAACGTTTCTGGAAGTTTACAGATGATCCCATTTCTACTTGATTATTATATGGTACATAATCCTTTACCCTGGTAGGTGATTATTATAAGGTATCGGTCCTACTTCACATGCTTTTATCACACAAACCTGAGAACATCTTTCACTTCAGACCTCACGAGCGTTATCTCTAGTTCTCAGTACCAAAATGGCTATGATAAATCATGATATTTTGTCTCCGTCTCTATTTCACAAAGACACTGGGTGCAACGTAAAGACTACAGTGGACCCCACAGTTTTTTCCTTTCCTCGTTTTTTAAAAGAAGTTGAAAAACTTTGTCAAATTCTCAACGCCCCTTTCTCTACATCAACTACTGAAGCAGTTCTCAGAGCCTATAGCACGCACTTCAACAACGCCCCAGTAGGATGGCGAGTCACCTCCAAGGATTCCGCACTCAACTACCGCTTTTTTCAAGGTAGATCAACCGATACTGTCACTATCGCCATTCAAGCAGGTTTCATCAAGCCTAGCCCCATAACCGACTTGGTGCAGTCTTGGACCACTCTATTTAATGACGAAATACAACACTGGTGCGATTTTGATACTTCAAAGGGACTTGTAAAGTCATGGCTCTTCTTGGGTCGAACACGTCAAATGGAAGAGGTTCTTGATGTTGAGTTCGTTCCAGAATCGATTCGACAGCACATGCAAAAGTTCAAGGAGCATGAATTGAACAGAGTGAGAACCGTTGCAGTTGATTGGCATTCTAAAACCGTCAATCTTTATTGGCGTGTGCCAGGACCACTCTCCAAAACTCAGGCTGATAATTTGCTTGGGTTGGCGGGTTGTCAACCGCTAGAGGAGGCAGAAGTTGTGGAAATTGGGAGATTTTCGAGTGCGAAGGACGGAAGCTTTGCTTTCGCTGTTACAATAAGCTTAGAATCCGGTGAGATTGGAAGGGCGGCATTCTATGCGACGAAGCTGTTGAGAGGCAATCTTCCGGCCATTAGCGAAAGATTGGAAACCTTTCTGGAACATGCACCTGATTATGATCCAGAAGAATGGATTACCATTGGATGGGGGTTCATAAAAGGTGGAGGGAAGTATATGAAGGCTGAAAAGAGCTATTGCGGGAAATTCATGGAGAAAGTGAAGAATATGATGATCCAGGACCCAAACATCTAGAAGATAGAAGTTGGAAACAGGAACCAGTGTTTCTTCATTCTGTCACTCCTGAATAACCCAGTTGTCACAAGTGAGTGCAAGGCTTCTTAGCTATGCCTAACTGCTTCGAATAGTTCCATCGGTCGGTGTGCAGAGTACCATGGCAAGCAGAGCACAAATTGATGAAGCAGAGTTCTGTTACCGAGGCTTGCACGTCGTGCTGCAGCCCGGTTACACGGCTCGCTCACGCACCATTGTCACACCATTTCACCGCACAAACCTAAATAAGGCACTCTCTTCACATCGTAAAGAAGGGTATAATAATAATCTTATTATTAAGTTCGCCAGTAGGTTTAGATGTCATATGGGCTTGGCAGGCATCGCGTGATTTTCTCGGACTTTTCTAGCCTAACCACGATTCCCAGGTCTTGTTCATTACTCTTTCATGCATGAGCATTTACTCCCACTAAATTTAAAAAGGAGCTTTCGGCTTTCAGACCCGTCAAACTTTTTTAAACTTTTTCTTTTTTTCTGAAACTTTTAATAACAAAAGTTGCTTGTTGCCAGTGCCTGGAACCAAGGCGCTGGATTTTGCTCCACTCACTCGGGATGCAGACACTTTCGATAGGTCCGATCCACAAAGTCTCGTTTTCAAACCCCGTTTGTGATATTCCCGGCTGGAAACTCTAATCAAGACAAGGCAATATTGATCTTCGGCTCTGGCTCGAGACATCAACGATCGTTCTCATCATTTCTCTCCATCCTAAGGACTTGTGAATCTACTATTTCAAAAAGCCACAACAAGATCGTGGTGAAAATAAAGTTAATTCACACCAATTTTGTGAGGAAAGTGACAACAGTAATATTTTATCATTCTAAAGCAAAGGTTGCGTGATAATGCCGTTTCTTTCGCAAAGGTCTCCAGTTGGTGGTCCGGCCAAGACTAACCAATGCGACTTGCGGATAACGCCAGCTACGATATCGAAGACTGAAGATTTAAAGGAACTGCGTCAAATCCTCAATCAATCCATCGACGAGTTGCTCCTAGCGCTAGATAACAATGGTCGAGATCCACCCTCGTTGCAGCAATGTAACCCAGAAGCTCTTCTTGCCACTCCAGTTGGAGAGAAACCACGAAGAAACATTGTCAGAGTGTGTGAGAAATTGACAACCTTAGTTCAGGGACCTATGGATGTACGTGATACCCTCAGACTGACCTTCCTTAGACGGGACTCTTCCGGTGTTGAAATACTGTCTTCCGAGCTATTCTGACTTCAGGGCCTTACAGTGGATGATGCAATCGACTGGTGGACACGTATTTCCCGCTGTTCTCAATACTGCTATGGAGCTCAAGCTTCATCATCTGGTATCTACGGATCCTAGAAATCCGACGAGCTTGGCAGATCTGGAGAAGAAAAGTGGCGGATCTCAAGAGCTGATCAGTAGGTGCTAATTCATGCATCAGACATTTACGAATTGACCAGTCTTTAGGCCGCCTGCTTCGCTACTTAACGCAGCGATTTGTGTTCCAGGAAGTTTCGCCAGGTCATTACTCTCATAATGCAAATTCAAGTATCTTACGGCTGCAAGGGGTCGAGGCTCTCATGGGACTATGGTAAGCCTGGGGTTACCACATGCGTGATTGAACAGAGCTCTGACCAACCCAGCTCCGATGACATATTTCGTGCAGCCTCAGCTCTCTCAACGGTAATGAAAGAAAACAGCTTCCAAGTAGACAACGGGAAGAGTGCATTTTCAAAGGCTTTTCAAAGTACGTATACCTAGACGGGCTTGAGATTTTCAACTAATTAACCATGTTTTAGCCGATTTGGAATCATTTGATTATTACTACCAGAAAGAACCAGATCGAGGTCGCCGTTTTTCCCTTGGGATGACCCCCTTCACTGGTTCTTACGCATCCAGTCTAGCTTTGTTTCCATTTCAGGACCTTCGCTCAGGAGCCCTCATTGTCGACGTAGGTGGAGGCAGTGGACACGTCTCTAACGAGATTGCGAGGGCAAACCCGCATCTCAAGTTTATTGTACAGGACTATGAGGAGCCAATATCCATCGGAAGAACGACCTACAAAGATTCCGGCTTACCAATTGAGTGGCAGGTGCACAACGCCTTTCACCCACAGCCTGTGAAAGGAGCCGATGTGTATTTCATGCGGCGTGTGTTGCATGACCACTCAGACTCTGTTGCAGCTAACGTTTTGAGGATGATAGTTGAGGCTATGGATAAGGGGTCTCGAATTCTAATTGAGGATATGATTGCCCCAGACCTGTACGGTGAAGATAGCGAGTGGTTCATCAACCACGCGGACATTGTCATGATGGCGATGCACAATGCTCAAGAGCGAACTATCGCGCAATGGGAGAGATTGCTCAAGAAGGCGGATGAAAGACTTACAATTGTGAAGGTTTGGAAAGGGGATGAGGACGCCAGAGGAAACTGTGCCATTATAGAGGCTACTTTGAGGATGTAGAGCGCATCTCCATATCTTGCGACATTATTCAGTTGTTTTATTTACTGCTTGAGAAGACCTAAAGTCAGAAGTATGAATCAATTTAGATTTGGTTCCTGATAAATCGGTGTTTCAGCCATGTCACAGGTACCACAAGCACCATAGATGCAACTCAGCCTGACCTCGTATTTTCTACGTAATCGAATGTATCAACATCTACAGCAGTAGTTGACTACGAATATTGAAAATCTGGTAGCTCATAGCCTTTGAATATGTAGCTCCCAAAATAGGAGAAATTGTGTATGGAGTCTTTTTAGGTGTAATGTTTAAGGTACGCCACAGAACGTTGTATAAATAAAAGGAGGCTTGATTTACCTCGTAGCCTCGAATTTCTCTGGTACAAGATGTGCCCTATGATGAGCTCATTAATGAAGGAGAGCCGAAGTTTGTTCAACGTCCGCTATAAAGCCCTTCGTAGCCCCGCCCAAGTCAATGACATATTCGGGTAAGGGATTCAACCAGAGGGCATATCTGCTTTCAAGCCCAACGATCCAGATTATGGCAGTCGGCAGTTTTTGACACAACGGTTGGACTTCAGCGGCTTTGCACTGCTGTGCAGACATGTGGGACTGATCATAAACAACTATGAACACGTTGACCCGGGCTTTACTTAGCAACGACAGTCCACACGCTACAGTTGAAGCTATCTCGTGGTTAAGACATGGAGTCACGATAATGCAGTGCTTGTACAAATTCGCTACCGTAAAGAAAATAGATGTCAGATTTTGTCAATATCTAATGCCCTTTGAGCTCGCATCACACTGGCAAAAGAGATTGTTCTCAGTCTAAGGTATTATGAAAAATGCCTAGTTAAATTATACACAACCTATACACAAGTCCCGCTTAAAACACATAAGAAATTGGATATCGCATAATTTCTCCCGCTTTCCCAACTCTCAAATATTCTTCCTCCTCGACTGACACCGTGATTATGTGGTGGGTGGTATGGTAATGAAAGGGTCATAATTACTCATTAAGTCTGCCGTTTCTGTGATACCATGCGTGCTATACAAGATTCGTGGCGCCTGGCATTTTACCAGTCACGCCCATTGAGGAAACCTTAGATCTGGAGAGCACCGAGAGTGGCGGCAGAGAGCAGCAGAGCACCAAGTGTCAGACCTAGCGTGTTGATGCCGGCAGGGGGGTAAACGCCCGGGGCAGCATTGGCAGACGAAGTAGAGGTAGAGGTGGAACTGCTGCCGGTGCCGGTGCCCCTTGTGGCGGTACGACTGCTGTCCTCATCGTCGCTGGCTCTGCTGGCACCACCGCTGGCTACGACAGTAGCTTTGGCAGATGCCGGGAGGTCGGCATTGCCGGTAGCGGTAGCGGATGCGGTCAGGTTTCCGCGGCAGAAGACGGCTTTGTGGCTGGCGCCGTTCTCGAAGAGGCAGGTGGTGAGGTCGCCGACTGATTGGCCGAGTGCGAGGCAGTAGACGCCGCAGTTGTCGTAGTAGGAGATGATGTCGGCGTCTTTGCAGCACTTCTTCAAGATTTCAGTGTTGTTCCCGCCGTAGGGCATCGCGCAGTTGGCGTCCCGGCTGGGGCTGTCATAAAGGAGGTTGCCGGAGCAGGCAGGGGTCGAGCTCGCCGCGGGGGCGGAGCCAGTAGCGGTTGCGAGGGCGGTGGACATTGTAGCGGTGGATGAGTTGTTGTGTGTTAGATGAGAAGCCTAAAGAGCTGTTCTGAAGTGAAAGCCGTAGTCCAAGATTGTATACGATAAATGATTTTGTAAAATAAAAGTGAAGGAAGAGGATAAATGGAATGTGTTCGAGGGGACGAGAGAGTTTTGATTGCAAAGGTCTTTTCTTTTTTGGATGTCTTGTGTTTCCATATTTCGCCGTCAGCCAGTCCGTTCGCACCGTCTCTTATTTAATACTTCATTATTGTGATCAACACGGTAAGCCGTAAAGCTCTTCCCGGATTCTGATCACTTAGTCTGACGTGTGAAAGCAGCTTTCTCCGACAAGCCTCATCAGCCCTGTTCCCCGCCTATTAATATCGGCGTCGTTGATTGGGAATCGGCTGGTGCCGGCGCAGCAGCTCTTTCATGTGGCTATTCCTAAAAGGCCCTGTTGTGGGGACGCCGCGTTCGGGGGCTGTTCTGCCAACGGTGCCACGGCGCGGAACCTAACGATGTGGTGGTGCAGTTTGAGGGGACTGGCTGACGGAGCTGAAGTGTCTCAGCCTCGACCGCCTGGCAACCAGGGGGCGCGAAATAATGTTGCTGTGCCACCGCCAGTATGGCAATGAGTGCTGGAAGGAAATGAGTGCCCGCCCTACTTCAGTCCCGAATGCTGTCTCGTTCCATTTTGTGAGGCATTTGGTCAGCTGCTGCGCCGGATCGCGCCGAAAAAGAATGCCAAGTCCGTCACAGCCAATCACAGACCTCGTGCCCCTGGAAAAAGGATAATCGCACAGCCATGTAAGACTTCTGCGCCTGGGATTCAGCTGCCCCTTCGGAGCCGCTTGCTATTGGTGAGATGGCAAGTGTAGGCAGACATGTTGGTGAAATAGGCTTTTCGTATTACTGGATTGTTTGAGTGATGATGGGAATAAGAAAGCTCGTTTGGCTTATAAACGGCCTTCAATTCGTAGTTCAGCCTGCTGCCCAGCCACAATTCTCGGATGGGTTGAGTCGTCGCCGGTCGCGGATACCGATTAATGCGGGTCTTTCTCCGGGAACATGCGGTGGTTACGGAGACCTGCGGGTCGATCGGATACGGAAACCGGAAGCTGGCGTATCTTAGGTAGGTGGGGCCTCAGTGGTCCACCGGCGACGGCGTTTCGGCCGTAGGGACGTGTTAGATGGAGTCTGAGGTAACCCTGGAGGAGCATCATAGATTTAAAGATGCTGCGAAGGAGGAAACCGCCTTCTCTCTAATTTCGGGAAGGGGCAGGGTCATCTTTTTGCACAAGAGCGCTGACCATGGGCAACAACACGAAGAGACGAGCGAGCATATTTGTTGACAGCGGTGATCAGCAAGACTATTAATAAGAAGTGAGGATATAAATTCAAAAGTAGTCAAGTAAGAACTGTGAGAGATGAAAGGTGTGGTGGATGGAAGCAAGTCAATTGATGGCAGCTTTTCTCTGCTCTTTTGTAGTTTTTAGCTATATACCGCGCTCCTCTTCAACTGAGCAGTTGGCCCTTGGATGGGACAAGGCAGAAGCTGTCAAAGCACCACGAGCCGTCGCCGGCGTTCCCACAAAATCCAACTCAAGATCACGTAGCTCTGTTACGATGGTTTGGACCGCGTGCTTTCATGTTAGCCTGCGAGACACCGGCACAGCACCAATCATGAAGGCATCGACATTTATGAGAGGGATGCCCCCTTTGACTCAACGGACCCCACGTACCATTCTCATCACAATATTGCTCATAACACGATGGTCGCGTAGCTGTGCTATGTCGTCAATGAAATGGATTTTGTAGCCGACCAACTCATCAGCTGATGATGATGCTCTGGAGCTTGCACTAACACTATTTCGAAGCCAATGACAATTTAGGACAGTTTTCTGCTGAACGGCGCAGTAACTGCAGCCTAAATTGGGATATTTATCCCATTAAAGAAGGTGAATGAGCTTGCTTTTGTCGATGTGTCGATCCGAGCCTGATTTCACGATGGAATGGCACAAATATTCCAAGCATTGGCAATGTTCCGACAGCTCTGCTTTGGGACCACAATCTTCCAACAGCATGAAGAATTGCCCTAAAACCTGTTTTTTGCGCAAATCCAGAGACCAGAAGTGGACCATTGAACCGGGCGCATAACCAGGAGGTGCGAGGTGGCACGGCACGGTCGAGTTGGGGGCTGTTGGTGCAGTTCGCAGTTGTTTGTAAATTTCAGTCGCTGTTAACGTCCTAGACAGCAATTGAACAACCAATAATGTGGTTGTTCGAGACAACCTTCGTTGTAGTCGTATTAAAAATCTCGGATATATGGCATTATCGTTTCCTTGACCTGATTTGGAAATTCGTTTGCCACTTTTTGCTTAGCATAGTCGGAACCAGTTCGGTGCGACCAATAAGACCGCCGTAAAGCAGCGGTTTCGCCAAACATGTTTAACAGCCTATTGTTCTCTACTTTTACGGCACAGCTTTCACGCTGGCGATTCGGGCCTTGAAGCGAAATGGGCTGCAGCCCGGTGACTACGTCATCGGCAAGCCCTTCTTTCTGAGACAGTAGCCCCTAAGTAAGTATAACTAAAGTGAATACCAACCGAGGGTCATTACATTCAAGTTCTGTGGATAGTCACAGAAAAGCAGTACAGAAGACACCCAAACCCAGAAACCCACAAACAAGATGGACAAGATTATTCAAGTGAACGAGACGCGGCGTACCAATGTAAGTCTTAGACTCTCTCCATATATTTTCAAGACGATATGTTTTCGGAAGCCCGTTTTTCGTCTACTTCCTTTGTGTATCTCCAACTTTGGGCTGCGGTCGTTCCCGAGGCTCACATTTCATATAGCTTCAACAAAGATGGCACAATTTTCCCGAGGCTTGTGGTCGCCCTGCTCCTGACCTCGACATCCCCATTGTTTGCATCGCCGGTCATCACACACACATTGTCGGCGATCACCTTGAGAGCGCTGGGGCAGACTTTGACACTTTTGAACACTGCTGCCCAAGTATTCAGAACAGAAGCAACATATATACGACAGGTCGGCAATGCGACTTCCAGACATGCTTCACCCACCAGACTGAAGTCGCTCTTAACTGGGAGGCATGCGTGATGGACGCGGCGGGGAAGAAGATGAGTGAACTTGAAGCCAAGGGGAGGAAGTTTAACTTCACCAAAGAGGAGGCATTCCACGGACGATGCGAGTGGATCGACTATGCTTCTTTGAGGCGTGAGCTCAAGTATGACAAGAGTGCAGCTGTTCCGTTAAGTGTCAGCAAGTTTGTTGTACTAGCTTTATCTATAGCCCCTCTTCTTATTGACTTCTTGTGATTTAGTGTGTTAGTTAGGAATGCCTTATTATGTCTACAACGGTTGGTTAGTTTCATGAATGAAGAGCCGTGTGAGGAATAATTGGAGCCTTGAGTCTGGCAGCAAATATCAGATTCGCGTCTTCGTGTGTCCAGATTTGACTACATCGCACACATGTTGAAGCAGGTGCTAAGGCGCAGACTAACAGAAATACAACCCACACACCTAGACCAGCAGAACCCTGGATGGTGTACGTGGGAGGGAAAATTTCAGTTCGCAGCCACAGGCGCAGGAACAGAAGAATTAGGTTCCGTCGATAGCTGTATGGGTTAGCAGAGATGAGAAGGAGAAAAGATGAAAAATGACAACAAATGGCTGCTTACTTGATAGCTAAAGAAAGTGTATTAAGTGAAGCTGTCGTCTTGTTACAACAGCAGAGAATATTGCTTCAAACTCCCTAGCCACAGGTGTGACTAATCGCCCTGAGTCTCTCCATTACTGGACCTGCACATGGCCATGACTTCCATGTTTCCGTGGTCATGTCTCAATGTATTTACTTTCCGTAGTTCTAATTTATCACTTTCCAGGGTGTTATTCGTTTAGACTTGAGGCCAATATATTATAGTGACTGTATGGCATGGAGTATAATGGTATGGCTGTTGTCTTAGTATTAACTCTCAAAAGCTCAAGTGTCAATTACTTTCCCAATTACGGTAGTCCGGCTTTCTTTGAGGCTAAAGAACAGTCATTTCCGTGTATTGCAGCGCATTTTGTGTCTTTTCTTTTTAGGAGACATATTTCTTGCCCAACTTGGAAATAACCCTCTGGGGTCTCTTCACCAGGGATAATCCCAACGCTCATGCCAACCTTAGCATTTAGAAGTCACTTCACTGCCTTGATTCATTATGACTATGTCTCTACTGAATTTTCTGAATTGACAAGTGCCTTGGCGTATATCTCGATTTCCCTTCCTTGTACATACGTTCACCACTTTCCCCATGGGCGGTAGAAGACGTTGATGGACTGCAAAACGTGGTCAATCGTGGCAGTCACCATCATGCATTCGGTATGGGCATTTGATAGTCGCGGGAAACCAACGTCAACTGAAGTCACCGTAGGCATAGTAGAGGACTGCCGAGATCCCACAGTCGCAACGAGGACGCTAGGGACGATGGCATTCGAGATTTAGGCTGGGGCTGGGGTTAGCGCAGGCGGGAAAATACCAATTCAGGCGTAGCATTTGTTGTAATACGAATATGAAATCGGTGGTTTGGGTCATTTCATACCTTTAAGATCGGCTGGCGCTAGAAACAATGCATTCACTGTTATACAAGCGAGGGCTGTGCGGATTACTCCTATTCTGATTCTGTAGGTTTCACAGGGGGTGAAACGGAATTCCGTTCGTTAATAATAAATAATAGTAAATTGGTTCTAATCGATGGTTCATGATAGTTGAAAGTGGTGTTGTTGACTAGAAGGTGGGGATATTCCCCCTTGGCCTGTCACGTGGGTCTGGGAGGCTTGGGCCTCTCAGCCTGGCGGGCGTGTGGCTGGAAGTGCCACACGACTCCGTATTCCAACTATCGCAACACTGGAAACTCTCTTTTTATAGTGTTGAAGCGGTTGGAATACGTTATCCCTATACAGTTCCGTCTCCTCGTTAATTCAGCCTCCTATCCCTACTTTCTCCCGTAGTTACGGTCTTGTTACCTATCCCTCTATACTGTTACGACCCGTAAACAAGGATAACAGCCGAACGACCCACTTGGGCGTCGGGCGGCTAGGACAGGACATTTGTACTACAGATTGATTGATTGATTGATTGATTTATTCCTACTCGGTTATGAAGCCGCTCTTATGCCAGCAGCTATGCCCGGAAAGCGGGGTTTGGCAGGTAGCCGAAGCGTCGACAATGAACAGCGACGCCCCACTTCGCCCTGATGTTGCATCAGGGCCAGCTATCCCCAAGCTCCCCACTATGTTCTCTATTCTGTGTGTTTGTGCCCTCTGTTGAAGAAGTGTGTTGCTCTCCTGTCTGCTTTCTCGCTTTTGTGTTGCTCTCTAGAATGCTTGTTTTGCGTCCTCCTGCTTCGGTTCAGTTGGTGCTGGTAGCACCGTATCTGGTTCTTTGTACCTACAGTCTCCCCCCAGCGCTCAGCTTTGTCTCTTTGTTTTGTCCGTATCCTCCCGGACTTGTATATGCCGTTTTCTCAGTTGCATCTGTAAATTCTTTGTTGCCTCCTGCCGGGTTCCTATGTGGCCTCTTGTTTCTTGCCTGTTGACCACTATTGCCCTCCACCACATTGGCCCAAGGGTCTTCCACGAAGCACAATGCTCCACTGACTCCGACATGTTCGATTACTGGGTATGAGAGCTCCCGCACAGATTCCGCAGACATTGTCGCGCGTTGAAGGGACACCAATCCTTCTTCGCAAAAGGGGCGACAGGGGACCAGTCTGTCTGTGGTCTGTAGTATTGTGTGGCATCGATCGTAGCATGCCTAATGCCTGGTGCTTTCTCCGTGCGGAAGGTGATACTGTTCTGTCGGACTCATCTTCGTCGTTGTGGGACGTTGCAAACTTTGTCGGGGGTGACAGGTGACCCAAAACCTGTCGGCGGCTGTTGTGTTGAAGTTGATTGTTTGGGCGCAGTCTTAGTGCTTCGTGTAGCGGCTTGTGGCTCGCCTGTGGTGGTGGTAACAGTGTTGTCTATTGATATGTCGTATTTTGCGGCTTGCTCTCAAGTTTTTCATTGTAGTCGGGGCGTGCTCTGCGGCCATCTTGGGCCCCTTTGGGACGTAGAATCAAGGCCGAGGATGGCATTGCATCGAAGGGGGCTCTGTGGCCGCGAGCACGCGTATTTGGGGCCGTTTTTGCTCCGATTTTCAAAAATTTCGTTCTCGCTGTTGTTGATGTTTTTTTCCATTTGTACTACAGATTGATTGATTGATTTATTCCTACTCGGTTATGAAGCCGCTCTTATGCCAGCAGCTATGCCCGGAAAGCGGGGTTTGGCAGGTAGCCGAAGCGTCGACAATGAACAGCGACGCCCCACTTCGCCCTGATGTTGCATCAGGGCCAGCTATCCCCAAGCTCCCCACTATGTTCTCTATTCTGTGTGTTTGTGCCCTCTGTTGAAGAAGTGTGTTGCTCTCCTGTCTGCTTTCTCGCTTTTGTGTTGCTCTCTAGAATGCTTGTTTTGCGTCCTCCTGCTTCGGTTCAGTTGGTGCTGGTAGCACCGTATCTGGTTCTTTGTACCTACAGTCTCCCCCCAGCGCTCAGCTTTGTCTCTTTGTTTTGTCCGTATCCTCCCGGACTTGTATGTGCCGTTTTCTCAGTTGCATCTGTAAATTCTTTGTTGCCTCCTGCCGGGTTCCTATGTGGCCTCTTGTTTCTTGCCTGTTGACCACTATTGCCCTCCACCACATTGGCCCAAGGGTCTTCCACGAAGCACAATGCTCCACTGACTCCGACATGTTCGATTACTGGGTATGAGAGCTCCCGCACAGATTCCGCAGACATTGTCGCGCGTTGAAGGGACACCAATCCTTCTTCGCAAAAGGGGCGACAGGGGACCAGTCTGTCTGTGGTCTGTAGTATTGTGTGGCATCGATCGTAGCATGCCTAATGCCTGGTGCTTTCTCCGTGCGGAAGGTGATACTGTTCTGTCGGACTCATCTTCGTCGTTGTGGGACGTTGCAAACTTTGTCGGGGGTGACAGGTGACCCAAAACCTGTCGGCGGCTGTTGTGTTGAAGTTGATTGTTTGGGCGCAGTCTTAGTGCTTCGTGTAGCGGCTTGTGGCTCGCCTGTGGTGGTGGTAACAGTGTTGTCTATTGATATGTCGTATTTTGCGGCTTGCTCTCAAGTTTTTCATTGTAGTCGGGGCGTGCTCTGCGGCCATCTTGGGCCCCTTTGGGACGTAGAATCAAGGCCGAGGATGGCATTGCATCGAAGGGGGCTCTGTGGCCGCGAGCACGCGTATTTGGGGCCGTTTTTGCTCCGATTTTCAAAAATTTCGTTCTCGCTGTTGTTGATGTTTTTTATTTGTACTACAGATTGATTGATTGATTGATTCCTACACGGTTATGAAGCCGCTCTTATGCTAGCAGCTATGCCCGGAAAGCGGGGTTTGGCAGACAGCCGAAGCATCGACGATAAACCGCGACGCCCCACTTCGCCCTGTTGTTGGATCAGGACCAGCTGTCCCCAAGCTCCCACTATGCTATCTATTCTTGTGTGTTTATGCCCTCTGTTGAAGATTGTTGTCCTCCTGCCTGCTCTCTCGCTTGGTGTTGCCTTCTAGAATCCTTCTTTCGCGTCCTCCTACTTCGGTTCTGTTGGTGCTAGGCACCATGTCTGGTTCTGTATACCTATAGTCTCCCCCCAGCCCTCAGCTTCGTCTCTTTATCTTGTCCGCATCCTCTCAGACTCGCATATGCTATATCTCAGTTGAATCTGTAAATCTTTTTGTTGCCTCATGCTGGGTTCCTATGTGGCTCTATGTTTCCATCTTTCGACCACCACCTCCATCCACCGCCTGGAGTCGGACTCAATCCGCAAAACACAATGCTCCAACCGCTTCGATTCGTCCGATTACTAAGTATGAGAGCTCGTACACAGATTCCGCAGACATTGTCATACGTTGAAGGGGCGACAATCCTTCTTCGCGGAGGGGGCGACAGGGGACCAATCTGTCTGCAAACTGTAGTATTTTGTGGCATCGATCGTAGCATGCCTGGTGTCTGGTGCTTTCTCTATGCAGGAGGTGATACCGTTCTGTCGGGCTTGTCGTCGTTGTTGTCGCGGGACGTTGCAAACTTTGTCGGGGGTGATAGGCGACCCATAACCTATCGGTGGCTGTGGTGTTGATGTTTGTTTGGGCTTGGTCGTTGTGCTCACGTGATAGCCCGTGACTCAACCGCGGTGGTGTCGATGGTGTTGTCTATTGACGTGTCATACTTTGTGGCTTGCTCTCGAATTTTTCGTGGTCAGAGCCCGCCCGCGGCCACGAGCAGGCTCT